AAATCGATTAGTCATTTTGGGAGAGGGAGCGAGAGAGAATTATTGATTACTTCTTTTTACTGCATAGTCTTAAATGCTATATATTTTCTCTTATTAAATTCAGTTTCAGTTCATATTTAACTAAAAGCCTGTACTAAAGTCTCAAGCCTCCAAGTAAAAGTAAAAGTTGAACTTTGAGGGACCCTCCCCCATGCCCTTTGTGCCCCAACAGCGCCAACAATGGACGAACAAATGTTTGCACTCTAGCAAGGCAAAGCGGGAAAGTGGGGAAATGGGTGTTGCCTTGTTGGTCCTCTGGGTGCGCCTAGCAGTCATGTGACAGTTTTCGCTTGGTTCAACACAAAAAACTTGTCTGCAACATTGCAACAACGACAACATCAAGCAATGCAACCAATTTACGCAACTTGCAACTTGCAACTTGGCGGCGAATTGTGCAGACTTTAAAAGTGTCCTTGAACTTTGCATCAAGTTGTTAAGCCGGTTTGCATCTTCTGGTTTGCCTCTTTTTTAGTCGTATTTCCACTTTTCACATCTAAACTTACAATATGTAAAATTGCGCATAAAAGTTAAAAGCTAATGTGATGTTTTATGGCTGTAATTTTGTTGGTCTTAAATTGATTTATTACAGAGGCGTAAATGTTGCAAGAACATGTTGCTAACGGTTTTCTTGTTTAGCTTTTTGTATAGTTTATTTATATTATTATTATTATGATTGAGCTATTGCAACAAAAATTGTAATGTTGCACAGGAAAATCTTAACTGTTTCCAACATATGTTGCCACGTTTACAGGATTAAATGATAAGCAAATATAAAAATGTTAAGAGAACATGTAGTTCACGGTTTTTTCTTTAACCTTAATTATGATTACTATTATTATATAAGCCTATGTTATTGTTTAGATAACTATTACGAAACTAACTTTTATATCATTATTCAATTTCAAATTTTAATGTTGCACAGAAACTGAAATGTTGCCGACACATGTTGACACGCTTGGCGAATTAAATGCTAAACAGCCATAAAAAGGCAATGGAAAAAGTGCGTGTTTATTCGTCATCTGGACATTTATTCATTGCCATTGTTTTTGTTTTTGTTTTCTGTATTTGTTGCTGCTGTGACCTATTAAATAAATGAAAATCGATTTGGCAGTTTTTTCATGTTTAATTCATTAGCAACCAAATGCGCAACACAGCAAATGAATTCGTTGGAATCCCAGTTCCAGTTCCAATTCCAATTCCCAGCTACCAATTCCACAGCAAACACGTCAAAAGTGACAAATAAAGTCGTTCACAAAAGTAAACGCAGATTAGAGTTATGAATATTTCTTGTTGTTGTTGCTGCTGTAGTTTTGCGTGTGTTTTAAGATAAACCAACAAAACAGTGAAATTAACAATAGATATGGGAAAAACGGAAGCCGAATAAGGCAGACACAATAAGAGAGAGACAGCGAAAGAGAGAGGAAGTCGAAAGTAGAATAACAGCTGTGCGCAGCGGTCAACAAACAATAGATGACGTTGCTGCAAACTCCACTCCCCCGCCCTTTTCAAGCTCTCCCTTCCCACACTTGTACATTGCCTTATCAACCAAAAAATATGACAGTAGCAAACAAGTGAAAATGAGATGCACTCCAGATTATAATCGACTCTGATTACCGCCCACACAACTGAATAAGATAATAATTATATTAAATTACAATCAGCAGTAAATTCTGATGAAAAACCCAACACAAAAAAATTCACATTTATCGTTTTTATCAGAGAGAGCGAGACAGGGCATATTTCATAAAAAATGTCCAAATGAACATTATGCAAATGTTGGGAAACTCAAAAATAACTATTTGTGCGCTCGTGAACTCTATTTAGTAAATTAAGTGTAGATTATTTAAAAAGAAAGTGCTAAAGAATATTTTCGGAGCCAGCTGCACCGAATAAATCGATAAATTAATTCAGTGATCGAAAGTTATTTGCTCGCTCACGAAACCGGTTCGGGTTCGCTTTGTGTTTATGTCACGGCAAAAGAGCGAACAAACAGGAACAATCAGCAACAGCAGGAATCAGCTGACTCTGAGCGAAGCAAATCAATTCGCCAATTTTCGTTAACAGAACAGAGGTCAAAAATATCTCTAACTCTTTCTAACGCATGAGACATGCATAGAAAGAATAAGCTAGAAGAAGATCGCGAGCCTGAAAAGCCAATCAAATTTAAGTGGCTAACAAAAAAAAAGATAATTCTATCTTCCAATAAATACACAACTTTGATAAATGATTATTATATAAGTGTTTAGTTTGCAATTTGGAACTGTGTGAATAAAAATACCCAATGAACCTTTTGCACATTGTACGGATGGTATGCGCAAGTGAATATAAATAAATGTTAAAATGACACATCGCCTGAGTTGGTATATAAAAAGCAAACGAACAAACAAACAGATAACATTCACAAACAAAAGCCGATCGTATAAAAGGCGGCAACGCCCAACACTTATTGGAAATGGTGCAAGCATTTTGCATTTAACTGCAACCTTTAAGAGTTGGAAATCATTATTCCAAAGCTTTCGACTTTAACCAGCAGCAATAAAAATCAAAAGCGATCAACAACTAAATAAACACAAGTCGAGAAAACACATTTTGACAATGTTTAAACATGTCAGTAGCAAAGAAATTAGCGATAAGCAAAATTCTTGGAAAAATAACTGCAACTGTAAATAGCCGTAGCTATTTTATTTTTTGCAGAATTTCTAATTTAATAGTGTAAGTTTTTTTTTTTTTGCAAAATTTCTAATTCAGTCAGTTGAGCCAATCAACTTTCTTTCACGCACCTCTTTTTTTGGAACTTTCCAAGCAAATCATAGACATTAAAAAAACTAAATTGCTGCATAAAATGAGGTGGGTCGAGTATAAAACATTTGCAATTTCGCAGCTTGAAATCAACTAATTAAAAATATAAATAAACCCCAGTCTAATTAAAAAAAAATTACTTGAAACGACCCCCCCCCCCCCCCCCCTAATATTAAAGAGAAAGTTGACACGTGGCGCATTATATCGAGGGCTCACTGTACCATGTATACCATGTATATTTATATATATTGTTATTTACTTTATACTCGTAAACAAAACCGTTGCAATTCATTGAAATTTGAAGCTGTGCTGGGGGGGGAGGGGGTTAAAACAAATGAGAAAGAGCAGAGAGCGAAAGAGAGACAAAAACATAATGGCGCGTCATTTGCAGTTTAAGCCCGAAAGAAAAAAGAAAAACAATCAATGCTAAAGCTCGAGTCACTTTGCATTGTTTATTGCGGTTTGTTTCGTTTCTCTTCTTTTTTGGCTTTTCCATATTCGCTTCTTTTTTTTGTAATGCACACACGGCTTAAGTGCTTCGCTTTGCATTAGTTTTTGTTTTCAAGTGATAGACTGAAGGAGGAGGGAGGCGGTGCTCAGGCGTTACTCGGCGACAGGCATTGAACTGAGTGCGGTCAGTGACGTCACGCAGTGACGTGCTGCAGTTGCCCAACTCCTTAATAAAGGTTTAGCAAATCTTTTTGATCAACATTTAAAGTTTCTTAACGGATAGCTGCACATTTTTAAATTAAATTAAATAATTTAAAAAAATGAATAAAAATTGCGAAGTATACAAAGTAAAGTTGTTTTTTTTTATTGACATAAATTAACGATTTAAATATACATATAATATATGCACCCACTTGGTAAGCGCATTTGCGACCCGACTTGATCTGACATTTATTACTACCCACACACACACATTTTGGCGACGTCTGGCAACCTGATCCGATAATCTATACGTCATCAGCTGTTTTTTGCATCAACAGTTAGCTAATTTTTCCACATATATTGGTGTAAAGTCGCAAACTCAAATGTTGCTAAATCGAAATGTTGCTGGTCAAAGTGCTGATCGGTATTATTTAGCAACATATGCGTAATACTAATATTACGTATGCATAGCATATGTTGCTGGCAATATGCCAATTTTTTGTTGGCCCATTCTGTGACGTCACAGCCGGCGTGTGGGTGTCTTATAAGAAATAATAATGTGTGCTTTATTTTATTGATTTATATTTTTCTGCTTATGTACATGTTTTTGTTTATTTTTCTTTTGCTTTTGCAATCTTTGCGCTGTCATTTTTAATTGACTGTTTCGATTATATTTTGGGGACTGGCTGCGTGCGTGGCACGTCACGGATATTGGCCAATTCGCGCAGCGGCGATCTTATGCCATTTGTCTCTCAATAAGTCTGCCAGCCAAGTGAAAGTTTTTTTTTGTGTTTTTGTCCGAAAGTTCATTGGCAGCGCAGCATTGGGCAACACTGTTGCTGACAAGCTTATATACATGTATGTATACATATATATGTGCATGTGTAGATACATTTGGATTCTAGGCAATCGATCAGTGTGTTAACCGTTATGAGTCATCATGCGGAGAATTCATAAGTTATTTTATGTGCTGCGTGTGTAACTTGGAAGATACGAACAAAGCAACAAAGCAACAAGCGCAAAAAGTCCACAAAACGAAATACTAGAGAATACTGCGCGACAGAAAGAGCTGGAGAGGGAGAGAGAGATATGGGGAATTATAAATGTGTCGAATGTTTACCTGTGATAAGCGGGCGCAAAAAAAACATTTTTTAAAGAATTCTTTGCAAATAAGATAGCTTAAACACTTTAATAAATACTGTTTTTTTTTTTAATTGATAAAATCAAGTTAGTTAAGCAAAACGAGTTTTTGATGCTGTGTTTTCGCGATTGTAAGATTTTTTTTAGTTTTTTTTTTTAAATATCAACGTTGTTGCCGTGCTTATTTGTGGACGGGGCAACTTCAGCTGTTATTATCAGAGCAGAGCAGGCTGCTTATCTGTTATACACACGCACACACATGCACACAAAACAGTTGGCTACATTTGTTGTTGTCGGTGCAATGTCAAAGCTTGCAATGATTTTTTTTTATAAATGGGGGGGGGGGGGGGGGGGGGTGGAAAGTGCCTTACCTTTTGTATAACAACAGCGACGACGACGACGGGAAAATCCGTTAAGCCAGCGAGGCACTTTTTGTTTTCTTATTGCTTGCTTATTATGATTGTTATTAATACGGCTAGTTTTATATTATTTCGACATCTGCAGGCAGGCAAAAAACAGAGTTGCGCTCTTTCTCTCCTCTTGTTGTTTACTCTTTACTCAGACACTCACATACACTCACACTTACACAAGCACAACTTCCAAATTGTTGTTGGCATTTAGCTGGAAGCACAAGAAAGAGAAAGAACATATGCAGAATAACAAATAAATACATTGAAGCTTTTTGCACTGTATTTGCTGATCCCGTCTTTCTTTTTGCATTTCACTTTATGGCTGCGCTTCACTGCTGAGAAGCCGCTTGGCGTCACGCCCACCTCACAAACACACACATACACAGAAGCAGCACACCAGAGATGAACGAATTTATGTGTGTGAGTGTGTGCGTACCTGTGACTTTTCACAAGTGCTTCAAGAATCGAAAGTCTTTCACATTTGAAAGCTCAGTCACAGGCAGCCACACATTTGACACAGTGACTTAAAAATGACAAGAAAAAGTCACAGTTTCGCTCATCTCTGTTGGCACTGCAAATACTGCTGAATTACTTGATGTTTCAAATACCGATTGTGGTTGCGGCTTATGTACCTAAACATTTGTTTCAGTTGCAATTATTTTTGTTTAGCGTTTTCACAATACATTCACATTTAATTAATGTATTTGATTAAATACCAAAGATAATGGGGAAAATGCACCGCTATACAACCGTGCGCACCATAGAAAACCCGACCCGACTGTTGGGTGTGACTGCCTCTCGCATACCTAAAAATCCATAGCTAACAGTGTGGTCGCATAAATCGTTGGTATGCTCGAAAATAATAAAGTACTAAAAAAAATCAACTTGAGCTTACGTTTGCGTTACGTACGTAAAGGCTTTGTTTTTAGCGTCGTAAATCGATAAACACTTCAAAAAGTCAATTTCAAAAATATTTAAACGTAACAGAAACTTAATTTTTCGATATTGTTTCGTTAAAGTGTTTTGTGTTTATTCATTGTTTTCTTTTTTGTTTTTATTTCTTTTTCGAATACATGTGAGTGTGGATTTCTTTTCATTTTTTACATACTCTTTGTGATATCGCAAGCATTTTTCATTATTTTTTTTTTTCATAATTCGTATCGTTAGATTTCGGAAATTATATATAAAGAAATGTGTTTAGAGGCACGCGTTCGCTCGCAGAGAGACGGACGAGGGACATACATAAAAATCAACTAAATATAGTACATAAATCAACATTTAGCATACGTAAATATAGTTTTTATAAAACATAGCTGGTAATGGTAAATAATTGCAACCTAATGCTAAAACTTAATGATCCTCCGCCGCCAGTCAGCCAGCCTACATTTGTACACAATTCGAAATTGGGGGGTTGGGGTGATGTTAACCCATATGCAATTATAGATCGCACCATCAAAATTTAGATGGGATACATACATATATATATATATATACATATATATATATATATACATATATATATATATATACATATATATATATATATATATAGGAAAAAACATTTTCAAGGAATTTCTTTAAATATAATTACTTCAGAATTAACTAACCGAGTGTGTGTTTGTTGTGTGTGAATTGTTCTTTTTGTTCGATTCAATTGCAAATTTAGAACTACAAATTTTGCGTACAAATGAAAAAGAAAGAACCGATTATGAAAGTATATATATATATATATGAGAGAGTAAAGCTCCGATTATAAAATTAGAACTATTTTTGTGTATATATAGAGGAGATATATGTATAAATATGTATAACTGTATGTATGTTTAGTTTAGCTGCGTCCAATCCATATAATTTCTTTCTTTTTTTTTGCAATGTGCCCCATCCAATTTTACCCACACCACGCCACCACAAGATGTATACATGTATAAGTATATATATACATATATATATATATAGTATTTTCTCTTTTTGAATCTCTCTTTTGTCGTTTGCATTAGGTACGATGTTCGCTGTTGTTGTTGTTGCTGCCGCCGCTGTTGTTGTTGCTCTTGTTGTTCCAAGTTGTTGTTGTTGTTGTGAGTTGTGTTAGAAGCGACTGGCCAGAAAATAGAGAATCGCCGCCAGAGCCACACAGCCGACGGGCAGAGCACGACGATAGAGCATCGGATTGTCAAAGGCCATCAGTTTTGTGTGACGCAACTGTTGAATTTGGTGGCGCAACTCAATGTTGCTCAGCTCGGACTGTTGCAGTCGGTCCTTGTACGTAATAAGCTGCTCTTCGCGCTCCACGTGCTCATCGCTCAAGGTGATTAGTTCCTCCTGCCAGCGGCTCCATTCATCCTCAGACTTCTCCTTCAGCTTCAGTCGTTGCTGTTCATCCGTAGCGAGATCATTTTCAGCTATGTTATCCTTATCGTTATTCTCGACATTTTTTGGACTGCGCTGCTGCTGCTGTTTTTGTTGTTGTTGCAGCTGCTCCTTCAGCTTCTGCATTTCCACTTCCAGCGCATTAATGTCTGTGGTTAGCATAGCCGATTTCTCCTTGTAGAACATACACTCCTCGTTCAGCATGTCCAGCGTTTGCTCCTGCGACAATGATGTATCGCCATCGTTGCGCACAAGTGTTGGCTGTGTCTCCAGTTTCTTGTGGACTGCGTGTGACGATGACAATGACTCCTCCTCCTCCGCTTCCGACTCCTCCTTGGTCGCCTCATTGATGCCATTGAGGCATTTGTTGTGCTGAGGTGATTTGTGTATGAACTCATCGCTGGCTGCTGCTGCCTCCGGTTTGTTGCCCACTGGCGCTGACAATGGCGTCGGTGATCGCTGCAGCGAGTGCGCCTTCTGTGATTCTTCCTCGCCAGAGTCTTCGTCGTTGTTGAATATGGCTTTTAATACATCGCCGCCGTCGGCGCCCTTATTGAGATCCGAATTCTTTAGCAACTTCATCATTGTGTCCTTGCGCATCACCTTGTGCTTCAAATCGAACTCGTCCTTCTGCTGCCGCTTGCTCTTCTTGCTCTGTCAAATGTAAAGTGACATTTTAGTTAGCGAGAGATCACTGTAGAAGTTTAATATGCTTACAGATTTTTGTTTACTGGGTGTTGTCTCTAGCAGCAGCTGATCCACAACATCCTCCTTATCCTTATCCTCATCTGCAGCTGCATCATTATCATCATCGTCACCGACATCAGCAACATCAACATCATCGTCGTCGTCGTCATCATCATCATCATCATCTTCGTCATCGTCATCGTCATCGTCGTCGTCGTCATCGTTAACACCGATGGCCGCATTCAGTTGCTCCAGCGCCTGTTGCTCCTGCATCATCTGTTCGCTGTCATAGTCAGCGTTTGTTTTCTGCAGCTGCATCAACTGTTGGCGCATCTTATCCATTTCGATCTCCTGCGCGTTGCATTGCTCCCTTAGATGCCCCATTCGCTGTTCTTCCTCCTCTTTAGCCTCTTGCTGCTGACGCATCGTTTCCTGCTTATATTCCGCATATTCCTGCTGCAGCTGCTCCAATCGCACATTGAAATCTTGCAGCGTCTGCTTCGAGTTCAATATCTGGGTGCGCAATATGCCGCACTCGTTGTCCGATGTTGTGTACGCCATCTCCATCTTGGACAGCATTTGCATGGCATCGCAACGATCCTGGTACACCTTGCGCAGCGCCTCTTTGGCAGTTAGCTGATACGTGGTCTTATCCTCCAGCAGCTTCACAATCTACAATCGAAACAGTCAATCACAAGTTGTACAAATTTTAAGCCGATGAGCATAATAAATATTAAATTAAAATATAAATTAGACTAAATTCATTGGAAATTACAATTGTCATTTGTCGACCACAATTTAAATTTTAAGTTATGCCAGGGAGATCACTCGCCACTTAAATAATTTATAATTTGTATTTTTATTTAAGTAATTTTTGATTTATAAGAAACCGGAAATTTCGAAAAAAGTGGAGGAGCAGCGTATCTATTCCTTCTGTTATTGGTTCTATTGCATTAAATACTCCATTCGTTCAAATTTCCACAATTAAATATACTAGAATTGTTCTAACATTTAATTCTTCCTTAATTTAAAAGTTTAATTAAATTATTCAATTACAAAATTTCCCTTTGTGTAATTTAACTTGTGACTTCAAATAGATTATATTTTTTTTTTTTAATTTGTGGACTGCTTTTAGTCAAAATTTTAGTTTGGGAACAGTCAGATTTAAGGGTTGTCCTATTCAATTGGCGAGGACTGCATCAATTAGCTATTTGTGATATTTATATTGCAAGTGAATTATTTTTAATAATTTAATTTTCACATTTAAATTGTTTGGCTAAAAATATTTTTAAAATGTTTTTCGATCGCATTAAATAAATATGTATAGATGGAAAAGTACAGATTTAAGGGATATCCTATTCAAGGGGCGAAGAGTGTGTCTATTCCATATTTGTGTGTGGTCTCAAAAGTATGCAATGCATTACCTTAAATTCGAAATCACCAGTTTGGAAAGGAAAGGGATGTACTCACCTCATTGCGTAAGGCATTCTCGGGCACATTCTTCTCCATCATCTGGAGCTTCTTCTCGAGCAGATTGATCTTGTGCAGCAGCTGATCCTCGGTGATCATGCTCTGCCAGCACATTGTCGAATTTTTACGCATGGAATCGAGAACACCTTGCAAATTACTCAGCTTCGCTTTGAGCATCTTCTCGCGCTGCGACGCCTCCTGTAGAAATGCATTTAAACGCTGTATTTCATCATAGCTTATCCGATTCGGTCCACCCAACTGCAGCTGCTCCGATTCTATTGAGATCGCCTCCCGGCCATCAGGCATAAACAGAGTGACGCGTGCAATGATGCAGCCGTGCACCTCCTGCCGGGAATTCTCAATGACCTCGACGCCAAACTTAACGGTGTCGCCATAATGCAGCTCGGCAGGTTCACTGCCCAATTTGTTGTCGTTGATGAAGGTGCCGTTGCTCGACTTGGTGTCCTTGACCCAAAAGTGACCGTCCGGTGAATACCAGAGCATGGCATGATTACGCGACAGCACCTTACAATCGAAAATGGCATTACCCTCGCTCGCCTTGCTCTTGGCAATCAGACGGCCCACCTTGCACTCCTGGCCGGGCGCTAACAAAATGTTGCGCGTCTCGAATTTGTGCGATTTACCCTCGCATTGCAGCACAATCTTTGCCTCGCCCGTCGACGCTGACATATCCGCTTGTTGTGCGGCTGGACTGCTGTTGCTGCTGTTGTTGCAGTTGTTGATAACTGCTGCTGTTGCTGTCTCATTGTTAGGCATTGGTAAGGCACCCAACGAGCTAAACAGATTGCCGCTCGTCGTCGTATTGTTCGCATTTAGCACCGAATTGATGGCCATGTGCAATTGCACTTGCTGCTGTGCCAGCTGACCCTGCAAATTGCAAACAAACAGTTTGTGAATAACAGCTGCATATATCATATCACAGGAAAACTCACCTGCAAGGTATTCGTATTGGAATCACAGGTCTCTGTTGTTGTCGTATTATTGTTTTCTCGGTTCTCAAGATTCTCGTTGGCATCGTTGCTGTTGCCCAGACTGCTGCTAATAATGTTGTTCTCTGCGGTCAGCAGTTCACACGTTTCCGTCTCATGTTTTTCGCGCTGCTGATGCTGCTCCTGTTGCTGTTGCTGTTCCGCCGCCTTCTTGTTCAGCTCCATTTTGTTGTGGGCCTTTTTGTTGTGGCGCTGATGATGCTGCTGCTGCTGCTGTTGTTGACGCTTGGTTAGCTCAGAGCCAGTGCCAGCAGTGGCAAGTGCTGCGGGTCTAGCTGTTAATTCTTGGTCGGTTGTTGTTGCTGGTGTTGTTATTGTTTCTGTTTCTGTTGTTGTTGCTAATGCTGAACCCGTTACGCTTGTGATGACGTTGCTCACAACTGCAGCTGCTGGCGCAACTGCAACTGCAACTGCTGCTGTTGCTGGCGTTGTTGTCGCTGCTGTTGTTCCCGCTGCTGCTGCTGCTGTTGCTGCTGATGATGCATGTGTCTTTTGCTCGTCATCCTTGTTACTCTGCCATTCGTTGCCGGCCAAGACCATAACTGAAATGCGCACAGAGAGTCGTCATACAGTAAAAATATAAATAAATCAGATGAATTTATTTATTTGTTGACTGGACAGATTAAATTTGAGTGAATTTAACGAAATTTGCTTGTTGTGCACACACTAAACACAAACCGAAACGTTGACATTTCGGACTGACATATTTAACTCAAGGAGCAACAGATCAAACGATTTTATTCCAATAAATATATATATATATAGTATGTGTGCATTTTAAGAGGTATCTGCGACAACATACATAGCTTTGTAGTTCTTCATATTTTGCGCTACTTTTATATACAAAGCTGAAACATAGACCAATCTTTTTCCTCTGATTTAAAGTAAAATCCCAAAAATGAAGCATTTATTTTAATTAAAGTCTCTTTTGCGTATAAGAAATAATTTCGATATACAATTTTAATCTGTAACTATTGGTATATTTATCTTTACAATTTGATTTTTAAAGTGGATATTTGATCATTTTATAATCTATTTATAAAGATCGGAATAATTGTTTAACCACTGAATAAATTGCATTCAAATTTCAATTATTTTTTTGTGTGGTATACATTTAAATTGTTGTTAAATAATTTAGTTATTTATTTATTTAGTGAGCACTAAAAGAAGTCTACAAAATTGAAAAAAGGTATTAAGATATGATAATGAAAATTAATTTAATTTATCAAAGTATTTTAATGAAAAGAGGTATTAGGAAATTCAAATTAAAAATGTAAAATTAAAAAATGTATCTATCTAAGTATTCAATGTGGATTATAAAGAGTTATTAAGAAATTCAAATTTATAATAAACTTGCACATAAATCGCATAAAACTAAAAGTGAATAATTAAGATTAAGATTTTCTCTAATATTTTACTCATTATTCACGACTCTACCAATATTGCTTGATATATTCATATTTTAACAACTAACAATTTTCTTATCATACTTCCGGGCACAGTTTTTAGCATGATTAATTAAGGGCTGGCAACACTCAAACGCACGTACAAATGTTAACTTTACTTATTTTTGTTTTAAAAATTGTGTATACAATAAGAAAAAAAAAAATATATAAAAAATAGACTACTTCAGTGCAGGGCAAAATAATGTTTTGTTAAAAATAGATTTTGAAAATATAATTGAAGAAGCGGGCATCAAATGTGCGAGTGTGTGTGTGTATGCGCGCGTGTGTGTGTTTACGTGTGTGAGGGGGGCTCACCGAAAAAACTGTTTATTTGTTTATTTGTGTCTGTAAACGGGGCGCGACTGCTCCACTTTGGAAGGCGCAACAAGAAGTAGAAGGCGAACCGCGACGAGCAGATAAATATGTATAATATGTAAATACACATACATAGTTAGATATACATACAAATGTACATGGATATATCTATGCTTGTGTGTACAAATGCAATTATGTGCGTGCAATAGATTGAATAATAGTGCAATAAACTGCGTAACTGGAGAAAGAGGAGGAGGTGTAGGGGGTGAGAGTGAGAACAGCAACAACAAGAGTGAGTGAGAGCCCATAAGCTGGGCAGAGTTGCCCCTTACCTTGCAGCACCAGCACCGAGCGACGATAGCGGGCCCATGGCCTCAAACAACAACTACTTGGATGGATATGGCAACTATGGTTGGACAGTTGTGGTTGTTGGTTGGTGTTGTTGTGGTTGTTACTGCTGCTGCTGGGCGTCGGTGGGAGTGGGGAAAGCTGAGAACAATGCAAAACTTTTGTTGAGCACAACAAATGTGATCAGCGCTACTTCGTCGTTCGTCTGTCTGTCCGTCTGCCTTTGCTTATATGTGTGTGTCTCTGCTGCTGCAGTTACAGCAACAAAACAATAACCAATACAGCTGCAGCCAGTGGCTGGGCACGAGTTCAACGTGTGGAATGGGGAGGGCGAGGGGCGACGGCGGCCTGGAGTGTTTTTTTTCGCTTTTTCACTTATGAAAATTGATACACAAATGAAGCACTAGCTGCAGCTTAATTGAATTTAATTACAAGTGGCTCAGTGTTGTGTGTGTGTCGTGACATTTGGAGAATTTACCGTTCTGCTGCTGCTGCTATCTGGTCGTTTGCTTTGGCTTATGTATTCGCGCAAAAGAAACGAAAAAACAGAAAAAAAAACACAGCACACACAACACACAATTCTCTCTTATTTTGCGATTGTTTGTATTTTAACACACACACAGAACACAAATTGATTTGTAATTGTTTAGCCGTGCAACGTTAAGAACTCACCTTGGTTTTACTTTATTTTTTTTGGGTTTTGGTTTTTGTTTATCAATTTTGCAACGCAGCGAAAGCGAGTATTATTTGCGATAATTGTTTTCAGTTCTCAAACCAAACCTCTTCCACTAGCTATGTGTACTAGACACGATACAACTGCCTATTGTGAGTTGTCACTGAAATTGTCACACGCTTGCTTCGATTAAACACGTGTTTTATTGCCATAAAAGTGGCTTGCCTGCACAACTAACAATATTAGCATAGCCAGTGAAATTAAATACACAATATTACTGTTAATATTTACAAATTATAGAGATTAAACAACTGATTGGTCGTAGCGTGTATCGCAGACAGAAATTTAATAGAGTTGTCAAACTCAAGCGCAGTTATCGATAACACACTCTGCAGTCTGTTGTCTGTTATAATAACATGCGGAGAGACGAGCAAAACAGAGTGGCGCTTAAAATTCATTTAAATATTTTTTATTTGCTTAATTAACTTAATTTAGCTGAAAACTCTTAAATTTATCAAAATTATAAAAACCCGCACGCACTTGCCGACCACCAAAGAAACGACCATTCAAATCCACAACAGCTGTAAAGTAAACAAAATGTTAAGCAAATGTTATTGGTTTTAGTTTACAGAACGAAAAGTTAACCAACCTTTTATGGCACTTTCGATGCGTTTGAATTCGACAAATATTTTGACAGCATCCTCGGGCACTGTGCCAAATGCCTCATGTATGATTACACTGTTTACCTCACCATACTTGGTGTTACATTCATCCTTAACTTCCGGCTCGAGTTCCTCATCCACATCGCCCGGCCCGACCATGTTGCGCAGCAGGACAACTTTACTCGGCGCCTTCATGATCTCCGTTATGCTCGGCTCAGGATCACTGACGGCCGCCGCTGCTGCTGCTGGAGGTGCTAAGCTTGGTGGCGGCATGGCTGGCGGTGGCATGGCAGCAGCAGCAGCCGCCGGATTAGGACTCGAAACAGCCGGCGTTGCATTCACTCCAGGCAACTGGGCGAGTGGTGGTGATGAGGGTGCCGTGGCAAGTGGCGGCAAGAATACATCCTTCTCGTGTATGATGCGACCGCCACGCTTTGATGTCTTTTCCACTTGCAGTGCCACCGACATGCCCTGCTCCGATTTACCCAAACCCTGACCATCTTTGAATCCATACTTGGCCATTATCTTTGCAGCCACCGAACTGGCCGAATAGGGTATGGTCACATTCGAGGCACCATCACCATTATCGATGGATAGGGACGGCGGTGGTGCTATCGCTGCACCACCGCCCTGCTTGGCTACCGATCCAGGCGCGGGCGGACTATATCTGTCCTCATCGCTCTGGCGCAGACCAAATCCGCTGAATTTCATGGGTGGCGGAGAGTGCGATTGATTGTTGTGCTGTTGTTCCCGTCGTCCAATGCGATTCCGTTTCCGATCTCGATCTCGTTCACGATCACGATCGCGATCCTCGCGATTGCTGTTGTTGCCACCAGCAATTCCAGTTCCGCTGGAAACGCCAGTATTGCGCGATTTATCGCTGCTCTTGGTCTTCTCCTTGAGTTTCTCGTACTCGTTGGGCCACTGCGGATCGTACTCGTCCACAAAGTCCCAATCATCGGTTTTGATGCTCTCCAAGATGGGCGCCACTGGAGCCACTGTGGTGCTGGTAATGATTGGCTTCGCGACAACAGTCACCGGCACAGTGTCCGCATCTGTGTTGCGTCTGGCGCGCAAATTAACCACTGGCGTCATTAACTGACAATAAATTTAATAACATGCAATTAATAATTGGATATATACAAAAAATAAATTTTTTTGCTCACCGGTTTCTTGATTTGATCTCTTGGCTTGGGCTTGTTGGGCAATTGGGCTTTCTTCACGGCCAGCTGTGTTTGCAGCATTTTGATGCCCGATGACCAGCCATCCATTTGGCTGGCACGCGGCTTGGCATCAATATCATCGTACAAGTCCATTTGTAATTAATTTTTAACCAGCCATAAAAAATAAACACACAAAAACTTTTCGCTTGCTAGCTGACTAGTGTTGCACAGTAAAGTAAATATTAGCATTTGCCAACACTGCACCGATAACATTCGTCGTATGGCCTTAACATATGTTATCCTACGTTACGTGGCTGTCGGTCTTACGTAGCGCAATACGTTGCCCCAAATAAATGTTATTTTATTAATGTTTATAAAAAAATGGGCAATGAAGGCAGCAAACTAAAAGGACTCATAATTGACAAAAATGCCATCGAAGTCAATGACTTTTGGGCGCTATACAACGCCGAATCGCCGACGACATGCAACGAGGAGGGCGGCGGTGGCCAACTGCTCTCCATTTTCAAGGGCGAGGTGCTAGTGAAGGGTCAACTCTGGGCTGCCCAGGGCCCAATGGAGCGAGCAATCAGGGTAGGTGCATGAGATGATCAAGAAAAGAAAGCAAACTAACTACTTGGTTACACAGAACCTTATGATCTATCGCCATCCGTATATACTGAAATATATGTCCACTTGGGATCAGTCCGGTCAGAAGCATTTGGCCACGGAACGTGTGCGGCCGTTGAGCGATGTGCTCACCCAGCAGAGCGATATACAGGTGTGTCTCGGACTGCGCACCATACTGTGTAGCCTCATATTTCTCATAGAGCGAGCCCATGCCAGGCATTTGAATATTTGCACTCAGTCCGTTTATGTGACGGATAAGGGCAGTTGGCGCCTGGCCGGCTTTGAGTATGTGTGGAAGGCAAAGGAGCTGAATAAACAGCTAATTGAGCTAGCGCACAGTTTTCGCCAGCCGCTGGCAATGGATGCCGCGGACACCACGCAGCTGGCCCTGGAACAGTTTGCCTTTGCCGCGCTCTGCGAACAAATCTTGGATAAATGCGGCGGCTCGGCGGGAATACCACATGTGTTGGAGTTCCGGGATTATTGCAGCACCCACCTGAAGCATCAGAATATCGAGTTGCGACCGAAGTTATCCGCTGTGCTGTTGCATCCGTATTTCAATCACGAATTCATTCTAATCCATTCCTTTCTCTTTGAGCTGCCACTGAAATCGGTGCCGGAGCGTCAGCAATTCTTCAGCAGTCTGATTGAGCGGCTGCGTGGCTTCGATGAGCAAGTGGTGGCCTCTCAGCTGGCCAGCGATCTGCTGTCGCGCATGGTACTCCTCGATCCCACCGCCCAGCACTGTGTGACACCGTTTGTGCTGCGCACCAAGACAGAGAATGGATGCACTGCACCACTATTTTCACCGCAGACGTATGTGCAGCATCTGTTGCCGCATGTGCTGAAAATGTTTCGGCTGCGCGACGCACAGATCCGCCTGATCCTGCTCGACTATTTCATGGAGTATGTGCGTCTGCTCAGCGACGAGCAACTGCTCAACGATATTCTGCCGCATTTACAGCTGGGCATGAGCGATACGAATGATGTGCTCGTGGCCAAGACACTGCGTTCTATGGCCGATCTGGTGCCCATACTGGGTGCAGCCACTGTTTTGGGTGGTGACCGAAGGCGTTGCTTTTCGGATGGTCGGCCCCATGCTGCCGTCTCCACGGACAGCAGCGCCCAGTGGACAGAGCCGCGTTCCATAACGCCACTGATGAATGGCAGCGCTGCAGATGCTGTGGATTACATGGTCTCGGGCAGTCCACTGCCATTGGACAGCAATGTTGTGCCACCAATGCCATTGCGTCTGAGTCCCGATGGCGGCGAGGATGACAAGAGCATCACCCAATTGAGTGAGAAACCACTGGAGTCCAGTCATAGCAACAGTTTGGTGGACAACAATTCCGATAGTTCCACCAGCAGCGCTGCGCACGAACAGACCCTGGTCAATATTAACGATGATGATGATGAGGAGGAGGAGCTGGCGCAGAAGGAGGATGAGGAAGAAGAGGAGGAGGAGGCGGCATGGTCCGATTGGGATAATGCAGAAGAGTTACAACGGCTGCAGGTCAAGCAGCAGTCCACGTTGGATGAGCTCAATCTGTACAGTAATGTGGAGACGACGAGCAGCACCTCCACACAGGCCACACAGCCCTCATCGATTGCCGACTCCTTTCGCACCGCCTGCTCCAGTCTCTCCACGGCCACACTCCCACCGCCGCCTCCGCCCGCACCTCTGGCATCCGCCAGCAGCAATCGCAAGGTCATCGATGATCTCAGCGCGCTGGACATTCAAGTGCAGTTGACCACATCGCTGCATAGCTCCGAGCCGGCTGAATTTGATTTCTTCAAAGACATGGAGCCAGTTATTGAGACGAAGCCAGCAACAGGAACGGGAGCAGCAGCTAGCGAAGCTGAGATTGTACAAATCGATGCGAGTCGCTTTGCGGCTGCTTTGACCAGCTACAATGGTCCGGATACGGATGTTGAGGCGGATCAGGGCTGGGGTCATGATGACGACGAGGATGATGATGTCGTTTGGGGCAACAATGGAGATGCCACCAACACCACCACCACCACCACCCCCACCACTGTCTCTTAGTCAGTCGAAGCTGTGTATATTAAACCATGTTAGTTTCATTGATTCAAAGTCGCCGTTTCTTGTTCCATTTACAACGAGTATCTCAAGCTCACTTTAAAGATCAATCTGATCTGAGATCTACTTCTTAAGTACATTTTTGAGTTTGCAATAAATTCCATATGTAAATATGTATTTCATCTCGCATCTTCTAGTGCAATTTTCCAAACTAGTTGAGGTTAGTTCAAAATTCATAAAAGAAAAAAAAGACAAAACGCCAATTTAGGTTCTTTGAAGTAAATTATTTTATATATTCTTTATCGTAAATTCTATTAAAATTTCGTTTCTCTATTTGTCTGCTGTGGTTTATAAAACTTTTTGAATTATTTACTGAAAATGTATTAATTCTTTTATTTTTTTTTCTAATCTTTCTTTCTTTAATATTTTATTCCAAATAAAATAGTACATTTCTTTATATTTACTTAACGATATATTCATAAACATATATTTTTACTTTTACTTAACATAAAGAAATGTATTATTTTATATATATTGTTTTTTCGTTCACTTTATTTGCAATCTGTCAAAGTGGGACAATAAACGAATGATTTTACAAATTTACAGCATTTAATTTATCCAAGGGATGTGGGCTTTTAAAGAGTTTGAAAGCCAGTCGATTGTCCTGATTCATGCCGAGAAATGTGTCTGCTTCTCAACTCGACAATCTCCTCCATGACCGAAGGGATCTTCAAGTCATTGCCGCATTGCAGCTTTCCAAGGAGTTTTAACTAGATGGGAATGATATTTTTTACTTTTTATAGTAATGGCACACATTTTAAGCCAATTAATATTACGGGATTCAATGTTGAGCTGCTTCCTTTCAGTTTTGATATGAACAAGTCTCTCGTCAATCCAATGAAATTAGAAGAATTCACATTCGTTCGATTTGATAAACGCATTCAACAATATCACGATCCGATAGAAACAAAGTTTCCAAGTACGTCGGATGTATGATATATGAGAACTTATATTCAAAATTCGAGTTCTTTAGCTCTTATAGTGTAATAGATCGGCGGATTTCCACAGATAAATAAACTAAGTATATTTACTTGATGAGGATGATTTCTTTGATGCTTTCTTTGGCCTGTTCCATACATACTTTTACAAAACATTTTTATTAATAAAGAATGGGTAATTGAATGGATCTGGAGTATAAAAACCGACCGATTATTACTATAAGGTAGCCCCAAGTTGATCATGTGTTTTGCAAAAGTTTGGAATTTGATTCGGGTAAACAACATTTTTTTTACACAAGAATTCATTTTTTTGACCGACTATTTGTATGCGAGCTGTAGTATATAGTAATCCGATGTCGATCATTGCTTGCCCAAATTTGAGGAACTTAATGAGATACATAGAAAGTTTATTTCTGATATCTTATTAAATACAAAAATTGCACACAAAAATAAATCTTTCGAACCATGGTTATATCGGCTCCGTCAGTGATAGTAATCGAGAATATATATGCCTTGACAAGCTTGTTCTGTTTGTGTTACACTTGCTCAAAATAAAACAAAAAATATAAACAGCTGTGAATGAATGAACACACCCCTTTACTTATCTGTAAATACGCAGTAATAATATTATTATCATGGTTACTTTACCCTGCAAATTGCAATCTCTTTGACTAAATTTATCAGGGAGGAGACAGCTTCAACAACCTCCACTTATCAAGCGAATTATCTATAATTATCTACAATAACAATGAAATATGCCAACATTTGATTGATAATTAGGAATTTGTTAAATAATCGAATATCTGATAACAACTGAATTTTAAACAGTTCGAAATATTTGTCTGACCTACTTTATGGGGATTCACCAAAATGTATTTTCTCTGTTCGAATATTCTATTAACAATGTATTTATGCACCCAAATGACAGACAGACAAAGTATCTATTTATGTTGTTGAATAATAAAACAAGAAACCCCGGCTTCTATATACCCTTCCGATATGTTACCATAAATTAAAAACTTACCGATTATTCTTATAAAAACTTAGCGATTATTCTTATAAAAACTTAGTTAAACAAGAATTTTATTTAATTTTTCTTTAATCCAATGTTAATTTGCATTTTAAGTAACTTTTGTTGGGAAAACTTGGTATACAAAAACAAGAACTCAGTTTTCAGTTTGGCAACTATATTCTTTTGCGATTGGTCAGCGTAAAAGGAGGGAATCTATCTTTAGTGATAGTTAAGCTTGCGAACTGTGAAGAATTTGATGTAAATAGGTAAATAAATTAATGGACACTTGACGACTTTCTTTTTGACAGCCAACGAAACCGATCTGAGGTATAACTTAGCATAAAGTAAGTTGTCCACATAATTGTTTTGTAATTTGTAATAAAATCCAGTACGCAGGTGGCGGCGTATAATTGTATGTATGTATATTTTAATGCAATCATTTGTTTGTTTGTTTTTAATAATTTTTAAAATGTTTTTCATGTTCTCTTGCATGCATTTCTTTTTTGTCTGCTTTCTTTTTTTTTTTTGGTTGATTTTTTGTTGTTTTTATAATGTTTTCGTTTAAAACTATTCTTGTAAAATTGTTAAATATGTATTTCGTTTTTTGGTTTAGCAAAAATGCTATATTTACGCAAAAACATTCTAAAATGCATTTGTTTATATCATTTGACTATATATGACTTATTAACATTTAAACGATCAAAATTGAGGCTCAAACGGTCTGAGGATCAAACAGGCTAAAAGGAAAACAAATAAAAACGCAAACGGTTCAACGTAATTAAATAAAAACACTAAACAAGTTTCAACTATTTACTCACGTTTTGTTTTTATTTTGCTTACATTTAAAAAAAAGTTTTTACGCATTAATTTGTTGTTTGTTTGTTTTGCTTTGCAGCATCATTATCATGCTCAACTTAATCAATGATCTTAGTAATCGTAATTACATAATTAAATTTAAATAAGATCAGCTGAAGTGTTTTTTTTTTGTTTTACTTTTTTGTTTATGATTTTGTTGTTTTGTTTTCTTTTATTTTATTTTATTCTCACGAGTTTTCTTTTTTACGTTTCTAAGCAAACGCAATGAAAAAATCGGTGCGCTAAATGTTTATAATTAAAAGTATTTACTGCACACTGCTGCGCTCTTTATACATGATGCTGGTGCGAAGGAGGGGCGAGGCGAGGGAACTGGAGCTGGAGAAGTGTAGCTGAATGAAGAGGCGCTAAGCGATTTAATAATAGGAGCTTGGAGACTAAACTGGGAGGTGGGTGGTGGGGAGCTTCAAGGGGCAAATGCCAGAAAATTCAATTTGTTGCACGTATTTTTGCATAATATTTTATAGTTTTTTTTTTGTTTTGTTTTGTTTTGCTTTAGTTTTAGTTTTAGTTCCTTTGCTTTCTCATAATGTAGGAAAGAAAATCTTAAAAAAAAATAATAAACAATAAAACATTTATAAAAAAGCATATTTTTTTACATGCATTTTCCGAACAAGTATCTCATTATCAAACATACTTCATTTTGCTTCCATTTCACTTATGCTTACGGCCTGCTTGCTTGCACATGATCATATCTCATTGAGTTTGTTATTGTTATGGATTTATGTGTGTGCCTGTATGTGTGTGTATGTATATGTGCGCGATTCTGTTTTGGATGAGTGTCTGCTCTGGGTATGTAGTATGAATATTGTATGCTATTGAATTTCTTTTTTTTTATTGTGGTAATGGATTGGTTTCCTCTTAGACTGCCGCCGACGCATCCGCATCACAACAACGCAGCATTCAAATCAGCTCCTTGTCTTCTAAGTACTTGTATTCAAAGGTGAAGCCCTCCTTTTTGCGCTGACTCCATTTCTCATAATCAAAGTAGATGTACGTACCCTGAAGCAAAACAAAAAAAACAAACAATATTATAATTATATTACGAGCATCGTTAAAAAATAAATTATATAAAATTAAAACTAAAAGGTAAGGCTCTAGTTCCAAAGTTCGCTCAAATCTATAATTCGAATCACTATTGCTGATAAGAACATCTTATTGCGTCTTTATAATAAGATAAGGTAATTGGTATGACAGTGTGACAGAAAAATATTTGTTCAAGATAAGAAAAGATTTACAATAACTAAAAAAGAACTTTTTATTATCAAGTATGAAGAGACAGGCGAATAATGTATACTTTTTTTTATAACAAATACACTTCAGAATAATAGTAAAATATAATTGAATTACTCATTACGATAAATTCAAAAAGATACGATTAGCAATAATTATAAAACTATATATTGGCGACAACTTTTTATTTTCTTGGAACAAATATGCTTAAGACAAGCTTTAGTTACATTGTCCAGCTAGAAGCATTCAGTGGCATTCAGCATTTTGTAAAATGCTAATTTATGTTATTTTTTTCACACTAACTCTGATTGTGATGATTATATTTTATTACTTCTATAAGAGGAATATCGACACTAAATTTATTGATGTCAATATCAATATCAATAATCTAAATAAAGTTCGAACTCTTAGCTTTAAAAAAAAAACAAGTATTTTTATTTAAACCATTTAAGCTGATATCAACAAAAATGGAAAACAATTGTCAGCAAAAGAAAATCAACTTTCAACTAATCATAAGATACAAATTATGAATAAATAAAATGATTTTCAGTTTGGCTCACCTGTTCGTAATCATCGTTGATGATCTTGGGCTCCTCGTGCCGTTGAAACCACATCATGTACTTGGTGTGGAAGCGCCAGCTCTGCTTTTTTAACGCTTTGGCAGCGAGATATTGCGCCTTGGAGCCCTCCATGTAGTAGAACACAAAGAAGAGCGTCTCCGTTGAGAGTCGCTGATAGAATTCAACGGTATCGTAGATGGGCAGCTGTGCCTTGGATTTTGTTTGGGGAGACAGAATTGTTAAGCTATAGCCATCTAGGATAACAAAATCAACCAATGTACCTGACTCACCTGGGGATAGTGCGCTGGCGTTTGCACTGGTGAGCGATGAAAATATGTTTGCAGCTTCTCCGTATCAATGGGCTGTGGCAGGTGATAATATGCGGCTTCCATCATTTGGAATTGCAGTTGATGTTCCTTTTGCAGTGGCGTCGGACCCAGCGGCGTTACGCCCAGCAGCGGTGGTATGTGCGCCTCTGTTGTTGCAATTTGCTGCTGCTGCTGTTGTTGTTGCTGCTGTTGTTGCTGCTGCTGCTGTTGTTGTTGCTGCTGTTGCTGCGGTGTATGCGTTTTAGCATTGGGTGCAACAACGACACCACCGCTGCCGCTTGTCGGCTGACCGGCAGCATTTGCAAGATTCATGAGTCCACTGCCAGCTGTAGGACCATTACTAGTGGCAGAAACGATTGTTCCAATTGCTGCAACTGCTGCTGCTGCCGCTGCTGCATTTTGTTGCTGCTGCTGTTGCGCTGCTGCAGCCGTCGCTTGCTGTTGAAGTTGCTGTTGTTGTTGCTGGTTGGCAGTTGTTTCGGTGCTGAAATGCTGTTGCAGTAACGATTGCTGCGCCGCCGCTTGCTGCTGCGCCGCCTGTTGTTGTTGTTGTTGCTGCTGCTGTTGTTGTTGTTGCTGCTGCTGCTGTTGTTGCTGCTGTCTCGTGTCAATGTTACTTGCCTGTTGCTGATTTAGGGAATTGGGCTCGATCACGGATCGATTAATTGCTTCCTGTGCTATAGTTTTCAATGAAATCGCATCGACAGCATTGCTGTTGTTGTTGCTGCTGCTATTGCTGCTGCCGCTGCTGCTACTACTGAGTGAGACGGGCAGGCCTGCAAAAACGGCAAAAGTAAATAAATATATTAAGTGCAAATATCACAAAGTTATTGCAAAATTATTATAAATATATATGTACAATTTAATTTAAAATATTTCCACGACTTGCTGTTTTAAGCCATTAGATTCTGTGAGCAGTAAATTTTTTTTTGTACAAATAACAAAAGTTATTCAAATAACACAAAGTTGTCTGCAAACAAAATTGTAATATATTCGTATTCCTTTCTCTTTGTATTGTATCTTAATATATTCCTATTCCTTTCTCTTTGTACTGAAAATATAAAAAAAAAAGCTTTTTATTTTAGCAAAAGCCTTCAGGCTTTTGATATATGATATTATTATTCTTAAACTGATCTTTAAATAATCACTATTTTGCGCAAATAACTTTTGATCGAATAACGGCAACTCAAATATTGTCTTGCAGTAATTTGAAATTGTGATAATTTTTTATACAAATGTTTAGGCAACAGACAAAGCAATTAGATGACTTGCTGCAGCAAAAATTTACTGATTAAACCGATGGCAAATATATATACATGAATGAAAATTTAAACAGACTGACATGAATATATCGACAGGGCTCGTTAAGCTCATCAAGAATATAAATACCCTAATAAGGTTCAAGAATAACTTTGCAACAAAATTATAATCCCCTACACAAGGCTGTGTAAAAATTAGAAAGATGCGGTTTTGATTTTTAATAATACCGTTTTGCAAATGTGAGGAATTCGTTTGAAGATTGGATAATTGCGCCGCCTGTTGTTGCTGCTGCTGTTGTTGTTGTTGGGCCTGTGCGCTGGCGCTGACAATTGCGGCCACCGTTGGCGCTGTTGGCTGCTGTTGCTGCAGCACAGGTCCGTTTTCCAGTAGTGCTAACGGACGAGATTACAGATTTGAGTATATTAAATTCAGATTAGTGCTTTCAAGTGAGACCCTTACATGTGTTGTGTTTAGCCACCGCTGCAAATGCAATTGTTGGTGTCGCTTGAATCACAGATTGGCCTTGAATGTTGTTGCTGCTGTTGTTGCTCGCCGAAGCGACGGCTGCTGCTGCTGCCGCTGCTGCTGTTGCTGCTGTGCCGGCGGAGACTGCAACGCTAACCGCATTCAGGCCAGGCGTTGGGGCATGTGGTTGCACGGCAGGATTGTGACCAATTGCAGCGACAATGCTGCTGCTACTGCTGCTGCTGCTACTGTTATTGTTGTTGTTACTGTTGTTGTTGTTCTGTGTCCCGCTCGATGCCAAAACGGAAGCGACCGTCGGTAGTTGTTGCTGGTTTTTGCTGGGCGTTGAGCTGATAATCTTATTGACTTGCGCTGCTAAAGAAATTGAAAATTAGTTACAATTACAATTACGCATCCAATTAGATAAATATCCATTCAGTTTGAGTACTCACTATCACTACCCGCGGGCGCTTTCGCTGTGGCACGCACTGGCGTCGGCTTGATCGGCTGTTGAGGTTGCTGCTGCAATTGCAAAAACATACAAATTAGTGGTGTCTATCGGAGAGCAGTTCAAATATGGCATATCCTATCCAAATACAAAAATCAAAACAAGCAAACAATCTGCAAAAGATATGTTTTGAACAATGAATGATTGATTCTTAAAAACTATTTATTTGCAATAAATAGAAATTCAATCAATAATCTTCAAAAATCAATATTTATGATTATTTTCGTACATAATGTTATAGATTTAAATATGAGCAACGCATTCGAGCACATTCTAATTCAAGTCTCCAGCTGTTCTAGTCGCTGAAATTGGCTGATTTAAGCAGATAAATGGACAGAAAGAAGGATGTGTTTCTGATTGACTCTGCCTGCTGATGCTGAGCAAGAATATATATATCGATACTTTATGGAGTCGGAAATGCTGTCTTCTGTCTGTCACACACAATTACACAAATATATTATCCTAATTTCAAACAAAGCTTAAAGCATTAAGGTCAATTTATAATTGGTCATTTATATGCAAATTAAAATAAATGAAAACTGGATAGAAAATATATAAATTACTAAATAATAATCCAATTTTTGACAGTTAATTTATAAATTTTGTACAAGTATTTATGTGTTTGAAATAAAAAATCAAAATTGGTTTGAAAATATAAAATACTAAAAAAACCATTGTAATTTTTGGCAGATTTTCACTTCAGAGTGTAAAAGTATTCGAAATAAATTAAATCACAATGGGCTAAGCAATATAAAATACTAAACAATAAGAATTCGAATTTTTGGTCATTTTACTCGTCAATTAAATATGACCAACAGCTTCACGTTATCAGCAATGCTCATCAGAACGCAAAAGATTTAGAAGTTTAGCAAACACAATGTATTAATAAGCTTAAGTTGGTTTTTCGATTTGTGCTGCAGTTAGTAGTAGTTGGGAATATTACCTTGGCTTTGCTGCTGTTGGCACTGCTTTCGCTGCTTTTGTTGCGCTTCTCACCACCTGTTGTCGCCTCGGTGGACGTTGTCGCTGAGGATGAAGTTGCGCTGGTATCGCTCGCATAGCCCACATTATTGCCATTCGATTGCTGTGCCGCAGCGGAGGCAGCGGCTGCTGCTGCTGCAGCCGCTACTGCCTGCAAATGCTGGAATTGGGCTGCGCTGGCCGCGCTTGTGCCGCCACTGGCAGCGCCGCTGCTGCTGCCCGCCGTCGCCGCCTGCTGTTGTGTGTTGGACGAGGAGGAGGAGCTGGGCAATATCTGTTGCACTGTAACTGGCGATTGGGATGGACTGCCGCCGGATGTGACGCTGCTGGGGGAGCCGCTAGTTTCGTTGCTATTGTTGCTGTCCGTTGTTGCCGTGCCGCTCAATTCGACTTCATCGAGCCCGATAATGTCGTCATAGATGAACTCGTTCTCCTCAAAGTCCGGCTCTTGCGATGAATCAATATAATATTCGACATCGTCCTTGATTTTGTTCACTTGCTCCGCTTCGACGCCATCGTTATCGAGCAGTCGGAGCAGCGTTTCCAATTTGGTTATATGGAATTTATGACGATCCAGTTTGCTACGCAAATCGTCCATGCGTTCCTGTTTATCGCGATCCAGACGTTTCTTTTTGCCCGCCAACAGCGATTCAATTTCGCTTTCGTACTGATCTATTTGAATTTGCAGTGCACTAATTGAATTGGTTAACCAATTGCGCGCATGATCTTTGATCCGTTGCGCTGGATCCATTTTTTGTGCGGCGCCCAAACCCTCCTTGGAATAAGCTTTTGTTTTTGTCTCCCGTTCCACCACCTTAAAGCGTTCCATTTGCTGAATGAAAAGTTAAAAATTGATATTATTTCAATAATTGTGATTGCGCTTAAACACTTTTCACGGATCGTTAGTCAATCAATATTTCCTAATTTCAAATTTGTAGTCATTAATTAAAATTGGAATAGAACAAAAACTGATATATAACCATTTAATTGCTGATAGCACAAAAATATATCGATATTGGCATATTCCAAAAGATATAAATCCTAAATGCAAAAAATAGTCGAAAGAAAATGGAACAAAATTATTTTAAAAAATCCAAACCAATTTGTAACTTGAATACTTTGGGAAAACAATTTCTATACAGCTGGGAGCCAATAAGCTTACCGTTTCAATGAGCCTCCGATTCTCAAGCAGGGCGCTTTTATCTTTGATTTCGGCGGATGCGATCCATGATTTGATTTGATCTCGTAACCGTTGCAGCTTCTTAATTTCCTTTTTGAGATCTGCCTCATATTTCTCCTGCAGGTGCTTTTGCTGTAAATGTAAACAAATTGGCAAATATTAGCATATGATCCAAACTTAAACATGTTGTTACGATAGATTTACCTTTTGGTTAGTGTTTGTTGCATTGTGTACCTTTTTCCAAATATCCTCAAACGTTTCCACGCCCTCGCCAACCTTTTTTAAACATCGATCAATTTCGCCTATCGGGAGTATTATCGATAATCAGTATATAGGCACACTCAAACTATATATATATATATATATATATATGTATGAAGGAATAATGCTTACCTTGCAATTTTCTCGTCGCAGCCATGGCTATGTGTGCTCTTGTGGTTTCTGCTGGCGCAAATAGTCAGACATAGTCCGCTGCAAGCTGTCGCGGTTTTTTTTTTTTGTTTTGGTTATATCACCTGCACAGGCAACACACAATCGCCGCTGCTGGTCCGGGCACAAGCCAGAAGTCGTCAACGGCGTCTGCAAAACATAAAATGGATCAATGTTAAATATGCATTAATTGCGCGCATACACAACAAACACACACACACACACAACGAGCGCATCGCAGCCTCAGCGTTTGCCGGGGCTATTTTGTTGCTGCCTGTTGTTATTGTTGGTGTTATTGTTTTATTTACCTTAGATCCTAGTAGCTTCGCTGCAACACAAATGGAGAATCACTCTCTGCGCCTGTATCTTCTCTGCCTCTTTTGCTTTTGCTTGCACTGATGTGTTGCCTGTGTGTGTGTGTGCGTGTGTTTGCGTGTGTGTGTGTTGTGTGTGTGATACCTTCGGGCCGTCGGAGAGTTCGATTTTTTTCTTGGCTAAGCCTTTTTGGGCAAACGCAACGTGGCAGCTGTGCTGGGGTTTCTTTTATATTGGTGAGTAGAGCATTAAATTGATGTGCTTGTTCTTAAATATATAGATTTATGCAATTTATACATTTAAATAAATACGCTTAAAGATTTTTCGCTTGCTTTTTGTTCGCTTCTTCTTCTTCGCACATTCCAAGATGGCGTCTGTCCAAAAAGCTATCGAATATAAGCGATTGCGCCACAACAATTTCGATAGTTACACACGACCCTGGTTAATCATAGCATAACATAACAGTCAGCTGTCCGCCAGTTTCAAATTACATTTGAAATTTACACTCCGTTCGTTATAATTTATTTTGATACTTTTTTATTTTATTTGCGCTCTGTGCATTTTTGCAAGGGAAAGGGAGAAAAATATAAGAATGCACATTTAGATTGAGTAACTCTTAAATTCGTTTCTACATTAAAGCGGCAGCGGACGCCATGCGATCGCTTGCAATAAATTTTATGTTCAATAATTACTTTTATAATTTCTTAAGTTTTCTTCGAATATTATGTTGCAAATAGTTAGTTTTTTCTTTGTGTTTGTAGTTATATTTTAGTTTAGTTGTGCTGCCTATCACATACGTTTGATGCGTTATCCTTTCCTAGCGAGAGCGCTGTTAGCTCAAAACTAAAATCTAATCATATTTGAAATTGGCTCCTTGCTGATTCTGTTCCTGCTGTTGTTGTTGTTGCCGCTGCTCTTTGGAATCGGAATCGATAACATCGCCATCGGCCAGCTGATAGGCAGGAACTGTCATACAGTTCCTGATAAAACTACACACGCACTGCACATATTGTACAGGATATTTGGTATAGATTTTGACATGCTCCGCATCTTCAAAACAAACCGACGACACATCGATGCCCTGATCGCGTCGCAATCGTATAAACTTCTCCACATCTCTATAGGGTATAACCACATCGCCTTTGGAGTAGAGAAATAGCTGCGGATATTTGTTCGTCTCATTCTTTAGCTCACAAAATGGACTTGCATGCAATGGCGTTGACTTGACAAACAAATTTTTAAAGGCCACAAATGTTTCCTGCACAAGTAGCACAAAAAAAATTAAGTAAGCGCAATTTACATTTACATTCAGTTAAGCAACTCACCTCCACAAACCACATAATGCTCAGGGTCAGGGTTATGGCAAATGCTGTTATGCAATTGCAGCGCTTCTCTTTACCATAAATGGCGGTTATGGCACGATATAAGCCAAGCATCCGACGCTCGCCAGGCGCCGAGTCAAAAATAACGCCTCGCACCTGCAATGGGGATTTATGCTTCCTCACCGCCAGATTGATGTGCTGATAGAGATAGGCGCCGCCATTGGAGAATATGTGAAAGATCAACGGATGCGCATCAAAGTTCATGTCCTGAATCAGCTTCAGTATCTTCTCGCCAATGGGTATCATTTCACTGCGCTTCCAGAAAAGCGTATCCACTGGCGCCGTATACCGAACAGTTATCAGGCTGTAAGCAACAAATTAAATTAGTATTTCAATCTAAAATTACAACAAAATTGAAGTGTACTTATTAATTTTATGCGGTTTTAAGTTATAATTTTTGATTCTCCAAATTGTTTGAATCTAGAAAGTAACGCCTTTTTAATTTTTAAATTGTTGAGAAATATAAATTTTTGAAAAAAAGGAATGTAATTAATTAAATAATGTAATAATTAAATTGCATAAATTTGTAATTGAATTTTTTAAAATACTTTGGCCAAAAAACGATACTATTCTTATCATATTTTTTTTTATAACTTGAAAGAGGTAGAATGGAACAGTTTTTGAACAATTTTCTGATTTTGTGAATGAATCTACAAATTTTATTGTGCAAAAAAATAAAAGATACAATTAAAAATAGAGAATGTATATTTATTGTAATTTTTAATTTCCACGCTTTTTATGTAAAAATATAACTTAAAAAAATAATTAATAATTAGCTTAAGGTTGAAATATTATAATAATCGAATGTGATTATTTAATTTACTCACCCTCTCTCCTCGTAGATATTGGAATACTTCATCAGGTAGCGATCCTGGCAGCCCGCCCAGCCCAGTAGCATTACAATCGGGACATTATTATGTTCCTCGTTGCCACTGATTAGCACAAAATCGTTGTCAGCTGTCGGCTTTGGAAACTTGATGAAATATTCGAGAGCATCTTCGGTTTCCTGCTGATGCTGTTTCTTCTGCTGCTGCTGCTGCTGTTGCTGGTGGCGCCTCGATTTGCTAGATTGCTGCTCTTGCTGCTGACCGCCGCTGCTGCCGCTGGCCACAATGCCGGCTGATCCGCCAAAGGGCTGATATTCGCTAGGAATATTATTCGCTGTCAGGCCATATGAGTGTTGTGATGACGACGATGGCGACGACGACATTTTAGCATTGACAATTTTTTTGGGTTTCTGAAACTTACTTTTCGGTTACTTGGTAATTTTTGTGCTATTCTTACACTCTACGCGTAGTTTACGACTATTTTGCTTGGTTACGCAAAAGCCTACTGCTTAGCAGGATATATATGACCTGTGACCTGTGTTGGCCAGCTGCCGTCCAAAAACGTTGACTGAATATTGATTTTGCAGGCGGAAATATGCAAACTTTTGTTAATTACAAAATTTCATCGCTTTTGCTAATGCTGTCGCAGGATACTTTTTTTTTGCTTCTTTTTTACCAACTCATTGATTTTTCGGCTAAACAGCTTGACCTTCTGGACCCAAAAAAAACGCTTTTGCCACTGCTGTTCACTGCTGCTTCCTGCTGCAGTAACATGCCGCATTCCAATGCGGCGACATCAAAGTTCCAGCGCGCTGCTGTTGATTATGGTAATGTGCTTTTGAGTTGGACATGCGCAATGCTCTGCCAGGAAACACGTTAGTGGCGACCGATTACTTTTGATCGTGAAAACAACTAATATTTCAGGCATAAGCAAACTATTTTTTTTATTTTCTGCAAGAGCATTTTTATTTGGTTGTATGGTTATTTTAGAGAATGCAGCATCTTTTTAAATAGGAAACTATGCATACAAATCTAAGTAAACTTTTCCATTATATTAATTTTAAAATGTTTTAAAATTTGCGCTTTTAATTTTACAGCTGTAATTGTATTGTACGATATATCGATATCAACACCTAAAAAGTATACTACAGACTTGATTTATCGATGTTCAATTTTTCTTGAAATATCGTAATTCAAATGTATAATTTGAGTTGCGGCCGAAAAGTTTTATTTTCCTGATTCCTGAATAGCATTTTCTGCTAAGAATTCAAAATATATATTTTATCTCGATTAAAAATATAAAACATTTTCAACCATTTAAAATATTTTAAAGTCAGATGATTTGACCAACAATAAATGTAATCCAAAAACTCATATTTTTAGGAAAGAAACACATTTTCGATGAATAGCTAATTTATTTTTTGTTGATGATAAATGCGCTAATCAAATCCGTTAAAAATTTCAATTATTTTTGTTTTTCAATTTGGCAATTTTGGTATTTCATTACATATGAAATATGATTTGGTAATGTAATTAAACTAAATTTGACTAAGTGGTTACATATTGTGCGTTAGAATTCCTCACGCGTCGACGTCTCTTGAAGAATCGCATCTGAATCGCTGACCGCTTTCAACGCTACTGCAAACAAAATATATAGAAAATTGCTCAGATTTTTTTTTTTTTAAACACAAAAATAACAATGAAAATACTGCCGATAAATGGTCTTTTACGAATTATTCACAGAATAAAATGAACACTCTGTCCAAAATGTTGATTGCTGCTTATAATGACTTCATAATCAAATCCTCTAGCTGCTTTGTGTCAATTTCAGGCTTTTGGGCGACCTGCGCCGTTGAGTTCAACCAGTACTCTGAGGCGGCTATATAGATAGCCACCGCTCCACCAACAATGTACGCAATGTGCGTGGAGCTCTGAAAAATGACACAGGTGGCGACGCACATGCCAAAGTACGTTAGCAATCGAGTGATGTTCACATATGAATCGCGTTGCTGCGACGACAGATCTTTTGATGGGCGGTTTCATCAATCAAGTGGGCAAGAAATTGAAGGGTGGTTTAAGCAGCAGTTATTGACTAGTCGCGTATATCTCATATTCACCTTGACATTTGCCATCCTGTAGCTTGTAGCCATCGGCGCACTTCTTGCACATATCCGGGCCATCGCCATCGCAGCCGTCACATGAACGATCGCACTCCAGGCAGGTGAAGGAGCCTTCGTTGTTAACGCAGAACTGTTGCGGTCGGCAGGTGCGTTGTTGATCCAAGCACTCGTTGATGTCAACACAACCACTTTCCGTGTCCATGCGCCAGCCATCTTTGCACTTGCGACAACTCTTCGGACCAGCGCCGTTGCAGCCACCGTCGCCACAGGCGGCATGACAGGATGTGCACAGCAGCTTTGTCTCATCGCGAAACGTTTCATAATGGTGCTCATCGCACTCGTTGCAATTAGTGCCGGCGTAGCCACTATCGCACAGACACTGGCCATTACCCTTGCGTGTGCCACTGCCCTTGCATTTGCCTTAAATAATTTAATATTTAATATATTATTAAATCATTCTACTTCTAAAATAAATTATTTAAAAAAAACATGTGATAATTTAAAGAAAATAAATATATTTATTTTCCCACTACATACCGTTATTGTTGCAGTCCGTGCACGCTTGGCATGTGGGTCCATATGTGTTTGGGGGACAGCAAACGTTGAGCTGCTGGATGCACAGCCAGGCATGCAAATCGGGCTCGTCGTCCTGCTTGTGTGTGAACCAGTCTTCAATCAGCGACTCGTGATCGTTGCTCAAGCTGTGGCAGTGATCCTGTCCACGTTTGACTTCGGTGCACAGCTGCTCCTGGATTTCTACGAAACGCACCTCACTGTTTTTGTACGCACGCATTTTCTCTTGCTCCCAGGCGGCGTCTCCGCCGGCATGTTTGCCTCGTTTTGTTTTTTCAAGTCCCAAATTGAATGATTCCACGAGTACGGTGCATGCTTTGCAGGGTGGCAGTTTTGTAGACTTATCCTTTTGCTTTTGTGGATCATCAACAGCATTTGCAACTGTTACAATTGACAGCACCAAACATAATTTTTTTAAATGCATATTATTTGGTTTTGTGCGTTTGGGTTTACGTGGTGTTTAGGGATGATTTGCCTAACACTTACAGCAAACACATACAGCTGTGGGCAATCCAGAGAGCTTAACATTTGGCGAAATGTTATTAACAGCGCGTACTTATTTGTTTCAAACCCCAAGTATTTTGTGTAAAATCTAACAATTCATGGGGATAATGTAGTTTAATGCAAAATGATCTCTGCAATATTCTACTATAAAACTACTATTTTTTATCTGTTATAAATTCATCATTCATCTGGTACAAATAAGAGCAGTAAATAATTAATCAGTGATAAAATTGTCTATCAGCTGTTGATACAAGCAAATGCGAGTGCTGTGGAAACACTGAACAGGCCTTCCGATAAACGTGACTCGATAACATTGGAAATCTGTTAATAACGAATGATACAAAACAGCTGCTACTTGATATAATCTGTTTTCTAGAAACGTTTAAGTAAACAGGTATTTTATTATAACAAAAAAAGAAAAACAGGATAAGCTAAATCTCATTTCTTTTTAATTTACAAAATTCAAAACGATTAGTGATCCAATTGGGACTCAGTGTTAATAACATTTCGATAATATGTTAGGTTAACAGGGGAAAGAGACACGAAAATTAATGGCGGGAGTTATATGGCGTGGGCCAATCTCTCAATAACCGGCAGAAGTTTGCAAGTTCTTGTGTGGCTAAGCGGCCCAAATAATAAATTGATTGTAAAAATATATTATTAGTTGGATTATTTATAAAGGAAAGCATAGCAAAATGAATAGCACAGCGCCGCCACCCGACGTTCTACAGACAGCGGGAAATATGCTCGAGAGTCACGACTTTCGAGACAGACACAAGCCGGAACTTTTAGAGGTAAATTGACACCGGTAAAGGGCGTTTTCTTTCGTGTATCACAAACTAATGGCACTTTTGTAGTTAACCGGCATCAGTCAGCATGGGAGGGCAACAATGAGCGGCCTCAATGATTACGATTACCTGTCGCTGGCACAACTGACCTCCTGTGACACACATAACCTACAACAGCTGCGAACGCTCACAAGATCCGGAATACCCAATGAGGTCCTTGAGCACTTTGAGCGTAAGTAAATTAACCTATCACACACGTAGATACAATAATATTCAAGTATTTGTCAACTTTGGCAGATATTAAATGCCATTGCACAATGGGTCTGTTTCCAGAAATAGGCCGTGCCTGGCTGGCAGTTGATTCCGATCTATACATATGGACATATGAGCATGCCCGAGACGTTGCCTACTACGATGGCTTGAGCCACGTAATTGTAAGCGTTGGCCTGGTCAAACCAAGACCAGGCGTCTTAGTCGATGCCGTCAAGCATCTGCTATTTCTGTCCACACCCATTGAAGTGATCGTTTTGGGCGTAACATTTGGCGATCAGAATGATCCCAGAGATCTATCATCGAGTGCCAATGGAATACAGCTGATGAGGAAGCCTCTATTCGTACTTGGCACAGATAATGGCCCCATTCATGTCATTCAGGGCAGCGACGATGGACGCATTTTCTTGGGCGGTCGCGATGGTTGTCTATACGAGTTCGATTATCATTCGGAGTCGAGCTGGTTTGGCAAGCGATGTAAAAAGATCAACCATTCGCAAGGACTCGCTTCCTATATAGTGCCAAGTTTTTTGAAAGTATTTTCAGTAAGTGGCTCATAAATTTAAAAAAAAAAATAAATTCAATGCCAATGTTCTTTTTCCCAATAGGAAGTGGATCCCATTGCGAAAATTGTTATTGACAATAGCCGGAAACTGCTTTATGTGCTGACCGAGAAGAGTTCGATCGAAGCCTGGTACATTGGCGCCAACCCCTCAGATGTGCGAAGGCTGGGCAAGATTACACAAAATGATATTGCCGCTCAAGCAATCAGCCTGATCAAGTAAGTATGCGATCAGATTACTTTTAGATCTTTTAGCTTTAATTTTGTTTTGTGTTTTTATTGTAGGACCGTGGATCCGTCCATTTTCAAGAGCGTGAAAGCCATATGTCCACTGAAAACGGACGATTCCCACTTCTTACACCTTGTCGCCGTGACGCAGTGCGGCGTGCGCCTTTATTTCTCTACGGCGAGATTAAATGTGCAGCAGCAGCAGCTAAATTGTATGCCAGACAACTTTGGCGTTAGTCAGCCAAATGCGGCGCTGCCAATGATGCAAACGCCTGCGGAAACATCAAGAGGTATCTTTCTGCTGCATGTCAGACTGCCGCCTGGTTATACGCCAAATGCAACTACCAATAAACCGAAGCAGGTGCATTCTGCCTACCACAATGATAGCACCATGCTTATGGTCACCACACAGCAACAGGAACAGGATTTACTCTGGTCAATTAGCTCGGCGCCGTTTACAAACTGTACATACCTCGTCGAATCGACGGCCTTGGAGGGTCTCGATGGCATCGTTTGGAGCATGGCGGAAGTGAATGATCCCATCGTGCCAAAGACCACATCAATGCTATACAATGCACGCACTCCGCGAAAAATTGTGCTGCTCACGAATCAGGGAACGCATATTGTCGAGCTGTTCAAGTCGGCCCAAATACTGCAGCAGGTGCTGCTGGCGTGCAAGGGTCCCCATCATGCGGCCGTAAAAATGTTCTTTCAAACACAAACGGAGCGCGAGGCTTGTGTCACTGCCCTGCTCTTGGCCACCTCGGATGAGTTTCGTGGCAGCGAAATTGCCTTGTGGGCCACCCAAGCATTCATGTTGTACGGCGGCGAGCCGTGTTATCAACATTTTATGAATGCCAGCAATCGTAACCTGCACAACACAACCGTGGCCTCATTGCCGCCCATGTACATGTCCACACCCATGCCGAATACAGCCAATATGGGATCGATGAGTTCACCATACAATCAGCAAATAAGTCCAAGTAAGTTTGTATTCCCCTACTTCTATTCTTGCCTCTCCATGCATGCCTTCTTTTACTAAGTAATCAATAAACTAAAACCTGCCTGCATAAAAAGCTGTGAGCCTATGTCCCTTTGCACAGTAGAGTAGCGTAACTTTTGAGCAGTTTTGTGACTTTAGACTATTTAACTTGTTAATAACACATATTTTAAGAATTAATGGGAAGAAATCGACTTGGAAATTTGTTAAGCTAACATTTAAATTATTATTCAAATCTGATTTCTAATGACATTGTATAGTGCAAATCTAAAACGGGGTATCATTGTCTCGACAAGCCAAATGCTCGCTGACAGCTAACTTTGTATGAATGGACAATGAATTCGGCATGTCGAGACATCTAAGAGAGAATGCATCCAAACGATCATTTATTTTCCATTCAGTCAGTTTTTAATCGATTTTTATACCTCTATGTGTTCATTGCTTAGTGTTTTGACGCATTATTATGTCAAATTCATTTCTCTGGCTTTTGATTTTGACAATGAATTGAAACTTACCAACTCTAATTACAATTTCAGTTGCACAATCACAAAAACAACACCAACAACAACACCAGCAACAACCACAACACTCCTCATTGCAGAGTAATGAAAATATCCCAATTATATATTCAGCCAAACATGATGGCCTGTATATGTATGTCTCCCGCATGCTGCGCTCCATTTGGCAATCGCACTGTGTCGATGAGAAAATGTGCTCCAAGCTCACATATAGCGATTGCACCATGCTTTTGGCAGAGCTGCGCTCCTTGCGCTCCTTTCTGGACAAGAATTCGGTGCACGATCTGTCGGGTAAGAGCATTAAATGCATTTCCATCATTTCGCTTATTTAACATTTACTTGCTCTGATAGCTACAGGACGTATGCCGTATGATGGTCATTTGGGCAGATCGACTGCTGTGTTTATGAACAACACTCAAATGACACAAAACGAACAGCGCAATCTGACGGAACAGGCACAAATCGAGGAGAAGCGTTCGCTATCTGCACTGAATCAGTTTATTAGTAAGTGTAGATGCTTGTCACTTTTAACTTGGTTTATATTAGTTCTTTTCTTTTTTGTTGTAAAGAACATGCCTGTGAGGTGATGTCGCTGTGGAGTATCCTCATTAATCATCAGTTTCCTGTGCTCGGCCAGCAGTTGTCCGTTGAGCATCAGAAAATGCTGCGCTGCTGCACATTTCGAGATCTGCTTATAACGCGCTCGGAGGTGTGTGCTTTTCTCATCATTGCACTGATTAACCTGTATCTCAAGGATAAGGCGGAGGTGACCGAGGTGTCGGATAGCTTACGTGAATTGTGCCCCAATCTATATAGACACGAGGATGAAGTGACCTACAAGGCCACCGAAATACTGATGAGCGTCAAGAATTGTAAATCAGCCATCGAAAAGCAACAAAAACTCAGCACAACCCTGCAAATGTGTCTAAATGCAGCACCCCATCTGCCACTGCATAGTATTTGTCAGCAGTTCATTTCTGTGGAGTTTTACGAGGGTGTCGTTGAGCTATCTGCAACGTGTGCCTCGAAAATGGATCAAGAGGAAATTGGCATACATTATTACAACAACAATGAGCCGGCCGAAGATCGCGAGGGATACACTTGCTTTGTCACACGGTAATTATGGTAATTCAACAAATATAATTTCTATTTCATTTATATTTACTCACTGACAGCATGAACTACTACAAGGAGGTGCAACTAATGCTCGACTATGTCTACCACGTCGTTCGCAGCAGCAATCCCGAACAGACTCAGAATCGTTCATTCTACATGAATAACGATGCTGCTGCTGCTGATGTCCAGGATAATCACGATATGGAGAACCGATCGAAACAGATCATTAAGAAGATAACAAGCCAAGCGCTGCGGCTGAAGGATCCACTTATCCATGTGACCATCTACGAGTGGCTGCTGTCGCATAACATGAAAACCGAATTGTTAGATATATTTGAGCCATCGTTGGGCGAGTTTTTGCGGCGCAGTGTTAGCCGGAATCCGGAGAATGTCAAATTGATTGATTTACTTTGGAAGTATTACGAGAAGAACGGTCATCATCATCAGGCTGCCCAGATTCTCGACAATTTGGCAATGACACGCAGCGAGAATATATCGCTGGATGTGCGCATCGACTATTTGGTGCGTGCCATTATGTGCATGCGTAATGAGAAGGTCGGATCGTCCATTACCAATGGTATATTCCTAAAGGAGCTAGAGGATAAGGTGGGTGTCATCCCTATTGACATATGCAGACATTTTTATTCATTATGTCTTCTTGCAGTTGGAAATAGCACGAGTACAGAAATCAGTGCTGGAGGCAATGTGCATCCTGGCAAATACAAATCCGGAAACGAGACAGACCATTAAGGAATTGAATTATGCGCTATATGATATTACACAGTTGTATCAGAACTTTGCGGATCCGTTCGAGCTGTGGGAATGCCAGCTGTCGATACTCAATTGTTCCAATCACAACGATCCGTTGTTGATCGAGTCCGTTTGGGGTAATATCATCAATAATGCTGTGGATGGGCCCGGTTCGGCCCAGGAGCGCAGCATAAGGCTTTTTTCAAAAATTGAGCTTTTGGTGCGAGAATTTGGCGAATCGGGTCCGTGCTTTCCATTTTCGTTTCTCATCCGAGAGCTGGAGATAAAAGCATGTCAATTGCATTTACCAGAAGGAACAGTGCCCGAGAAGCTGTTCGAAATGAAACTGGACATTGAGCTGCTCCTGGAATACTACTCAAGGTGTGTGCTTGTTATTGATTGCTGTATATCGTTTCACCATTTAATGCTCCGGTTACTGTCTGTTTAGAATGATCTCAATGAACGAGCGCATTTGGGCAAACGAGGGCAACGAGTGGCACTTGATACAGTCGGCTATACGGGTCGTCACACTTCTGGCTGATAATGCTCCGGCTATTTGGTATCGGTCCAAGTAAGTCCAAGTTCTACAACAATTCCCTTGCCACAGCAATTTTATAAAATACATTTATCTACTCTAATCAGGCGACGAATACTGGGCAAGGCACAGGACATTGTTGCGGCATGTTTGAATATTTGCTATCAGAAACCAGACACGAATCGCCTACAGCACTCCCTAAAGGAGCTTCAGTGCCGTTTGCAACGGCTTTTAGGTTAATATAGATATATATATATATACATTTATCGCAACTATTTGTTCTATTCTATTTGGAGCACACAACACTTTTATAGCTGTTAAGTTTGACTGAGATGTAAAAATGGTGTACGTGTTGACTTATTGAAATATTTGTTAATGTCTTACAAACTGAGCAACAGGCGACAAATAAATTATGATGTGTCCATCGAGATTAGATGCGCCTTGGTTAGTATACATTTGGTCATGTGGCAGGAGCAGGGCACCGGATGCTCCTCGACATTAGGATCGAGCAGTTCAACCTCCAAATTGTATTTTCTTGCACCGCTTGCGCTGCGTTTCATTAAAATTTGAAAGGCCACCGGTGAATTCTCTTCGAGAACTTCACAATTTTCCTTGGGTAGTACGACGACGCACTGCTTCCAATGGGTTTTGGGTGCCAGTGGTGATGTGCTGAGCGTAACTGGTTCCTCCTCACACGGGAAGCGTACATCAAACCATATACAGAATCCCTGATGCTTTCCCGCCACTTGTGTGGACACGACTTCCTTGAAGCTTATCTCGTCCAGTTCTTTGGCATCGACATCCAGCAAACTCATCCAATGAAACACGATGCCTTCGTGCAGCAAATCCGCCGGTTTCAAATAGGTTATCTCCGGTCGTGTGGATTTTTGTAAGCGCAGTTTGCTAGCGAAACGTTCCATGCTCACCCCGTCAATATTTTGCCAGTAATCGAAAAGTGCTGGCACAGAGCAGGGTGCCACATAAATGGTGCACTCACTGGGAAAGATTAGTCCATCGGGCTTTAGGAAATGATCTCTGGCAAAGAGCACCGAATCCAGCATACCCTCGTGCAGCAGATAGAAGCCCATCCATTCCGAGACAATAATATCAACTTTCTCAGCATTGGCCGGCAACGCGAATTCCTCGATCTTGGAATGTATCACCTTAACGATCCCTGTGAGATTATTTTCATCGAATAGATCGAGGGCTACCTTCGTGGCTAGATTGGAGGCTTCCACAGCGTAAACCAGTCGAGCACCGGCTTTGGCACAGAACGCCGAAAGTATACCCGTACCAGCGCCCACATCTAGCACAACTTTATCCTTAAATAGATCCTTATTCTTGAGAATCGCATTACAATATGCTTCTTGTCGTGGTCGATCTTTCAGCATGAGCTCGTGCACCTGCCAGAATATAACACAAGTTATTTATAAATATTTATAATATTTATTTAAATCAAATATATACCTCTAAATTTTCATATTCCGTAAAATAAGTATCCATAGTGACTGATATTGACTTAAATAAAGCTCAAAATTTATAAAAACAACACAAATATTGGAGATTTATAGGTTAAATTGCATGCCGAACAGCACTGCTATTTAACATAATCGCAAGCAAGCAACAAGCGAAGACTGTAAATGTTGGCTGTTAACAGATAAACAACATGTAAAGTTTTTGATTATATATCGAAAAATGATATCGAACTAATCATCAGTTCATCAGTCAGCCACGTAAATTCCATAACAAACAAATTTATGTTTGAAGCAAATCAACGTTGATTAATTTATAAGTGTATAAAAAATAACATGAATACATTGCATCTAAGCGAATTGATCAGCAGCTGGGATATAAGCACAACCGAAAAAGTTGATGAGGGTCTCAAACGCATTGCAGCAAAGGAAGTGGGTATTTCTCAATTGCTCCAGTTAAATATTATTTCATTGCTAAATATCTATTCAATTTTAGGCTGAAGTTAATGCCAGACTTGAAGCCGTATTGTCCAAGCAATGCCAAGTTGAGGCAAAATTAAGTGGCATCGGTCGAGCGATGGCCACATTGCTAACCGTGGAGAATGATTCAAATAAGTTAAATTTGCAAATTGTGAACACCGCTCAACTGGCCGAATCCGTAAGCGCAAAAGTGCGAAGATTGGATTTGGCTCGATGTCGTGCCTCCGAGTGTCAGCAGCGTGTCCACGATCTCATCGATCTGCAGCTGTGCAGTCAGGGCGTTGTCAAGGCCATCAATGAGGAGGATTACGAGAAGGGGGCGGGCCATATCGCTCGCTTTCTTGCAATGGATCAGCAGCTATTGCAGCGCACCGCAGATGATGTCCAAGGCTCGATCACGTCGGTCAGCGATGCTGTACGCACCCTGGAAGATGCCACCGAAAAGATGCGAGAGCTGATCTCAAAACGATTCGATGAGGCTGTCCAGCACGATGATTTGGCTTCGGTTGAGCGATTTTTCAAAATATTCCCATTGGTTGGCTGCCATCGCATCGGCATTGAGAAATTCTGTGGCTACATTTGCCAGAAGCTGTCAGCGAAGGCGCAAAAGGAGCTGCGCAACACGCAGGACATTGCCAAAGCCGAGCGACGAATGCATTTGGCCTTTGCAGATCGCCTCACTGCGATATTGGAAAACTTTGCACGGGTCGTTGAAGTAAATCAGCCTATTATTGAAGCATTTTATGGTCAAGAGTAAGCGCAACGGTTTCTTATTAGCTAAAACTCGAATAGTTCATTAATATTACCCATATTATAGGTGCACATCATTGCTAGATATGGTAACCATATTGCAAAGGGAATGCGATCTGGAAGTTAAAAATCTGCTGCTTGAGTTCAACAAGCATCGCCAAATTCAGTATCGCATCAAGCAGGTGAACGACAGCGCTCAGCGGTCCGGTGGAGCTGGTGGCGCCAACAACAGCATTCAGTCAACATTGGGACATTATCGAAAACCGTCTGGCGGCTCTATTGACAAACTGAATCCGAAGGATATTGATGCCATAATTGCCGAAATTACGGTCATGCACTCGAGAATCGAGTTGTACTTTCGATTTATGCGCCGCCGATTGCAGGTTAATTAGTTGTGAGTTATATCACCAATAAGTAGTTAATTAAAACACTGATTTTTACAGACTAATGCCGAGACTTATCTGCAAGACAAGGATGCCCAAAAGAATATACAAAGTGATTATGAGCGGGTTGTGAAGCAGTGCGACTTGAGTCGTCAAATGCAGGAAATTCTAAGCACATATTTATTATTTGAAAGGTATGTGGATTTATTTATATATATATGTAATTTTAATCACTCATGTTCCCTTAGATATTTCATGGAGGAGAGCGTAATGAAAGCCATTGGACTCGACACTTATGAGGCTGGGCAGCAATGCTCGTCAATGGTCGATGATGTTTTCTTCATATTGCGCAAATCGATCAGACGTTCCCTGACAACACAATCAATTAATGGTACCTGTGCAGTAATCAACAATGTAGCCTCATGCCTGGATGGTGATTTTGTGACTGCACTCAAGGCACCACTAAAAAGTGGGTATCCATCAGGTTATATTGATTTGGCGCAGGCCTACAACGCCATACAGACGAGCCTGCAGCAGGGCAAATTACATTCGAGTGATGCGGATCGCGTTCGCACCAATTTCATAGTGCAGTTGAATAATGCCGATATGTCCACGGAATATATTGAAACCCTGTGGCAGACCATGGAGCAAGAGATCGCCGGCACTTTTCCCAGCATTAGCCCGGTTGAGCGACATCTGCTGGATGGCTGCCTGACTGAGCTGAAAACGGTTCTCGATGCGCTGAAGGCAACCGTTGACTTTGGCATACAGCAACTAAGGTCCAGTGCGATTAGGCCACGCCTGAATCCCTGGGTTGATGAATTCCTCAACTATAGTCACCACTTAACAGAGGTTAATGCCTGCCTTTGATTATACATTGTGTGATTTGCTAAATTTATTTAATCATTTAGGAAGAACTGTCCACTTACGAAGCTGGAGAGACATTTGTTCAGTATTTCATTGTGCAATTGGATGGGCTTTTGAATTCCTTCAAAAATGCTTTAAGTCCCCGCAATTATGATGCGCTTGTCAGCATTTTGGCTACAGAAGTGACCAATCGCTTGGAGCGTGCGATTAAAAAGAGCACATTTAATCGGGTAAAAAACAGCAACGTATATTTTCTATGTTATATATGAATATGTTATCATTTTACTCGCGTCAATTTACAGCTTGGCGGTCTGGTTCTGGATCAGGAAGTGCGTGCCCTTGGCACTTATCTCACGGGAGCCACATCGTGGTCTGTCCGTGATAAGATGACTCGTCTTTCGCAAATTGCTACGCTTTTAAATTTGGATAAAGTTTCGGAATTATCCGAGTATTGGAATCCCGAGAATAATACCGAAATGCCATCTTGGCGGCTGACACCCAACGAAGTGCGAACCATTTTCACATTAAGGTATTATTATGATCGAATACTGGCTTGCTTCACACTTAAAATCTTTTATTTCTCTAGAATCGATTTCCGCATGGAGGACATTAAACGTTTACAGCTTTAAGCTACAAACGTTATTATGTGCTATGTCCTGAAAATTATGATGATTCGTTGGCTTTCTTTTTCTCGGCACTAAACCAACGATTATAATCCAATCTTAATAAAAGCTGCGACAGCGGTCCAAAACTTGATGCACTCCTTAAGTTGTTCAATAATTTGATTAAACCCAAAATGGAAACGTTAAATCTATAAAGATATTTATAAATACAATAAATATAAACATATTAATATACTGCGCATCAGCTCACCGTTCCTCGAGTCTATCGCATTCCTTTAAAGCCCCATCAGGCAGATTTTGTCCGGAATGCAAGAGACAAAATTTCTCGCATACATTAAAGATTTCCAGAAATGTTCCGTAAACGGGATATTGTGAATTGCATGTTGATTGCGTAGTATTCAGTTTCTTGTCGGTTGCATCCGTCAACAGAAAACATTGGGAAAGCACATTGGCCAGAAAAACGGAATGAGCCCTTTGAATTTCTTCAAAATCGGCTTTACTTTTGATAACATTCATGAGTATACTGAACTGGCCTAAAATATGATAATGAGACATAGTCAAATTAATACCGAGTAATAATAATAACATCTTCAATGAGCTTACATTCGAGAACATCGACTTGTATGTAATACTGCAAGTTGTTCAAAAAGAACATTAAATGATTACGAAAATGCATTATCTTAGCGTTCACTGGATTTGGTGTTTTCCCAGCCCATTTGTGGTTGGCCCAAACGAGCTCCAAGTCGTATTGCAATTTCCGAACAATCAATAGAAACCGAAACACTGTGTTATATCGTTCCACAGTTGTTGGTGAAAATAAGAGATTCAATGGCCACTTGTATATGTATTTGAGATGAAGATTCTGAAAATTCTCAAATTCGCAGGTCTCATCTAAATCGATGCTAGTTTTTATCACACTTAGGGAAAAGTTTTCCAAATCATCAGAAATTCCCATCACATTCGATGCAATCTGTAAAACAAATATGTTTAAAATAAATGTGGAACTAGTAGCAAATACAAATATTGTGGCTACCTCAAAAGATCTGGTATAATTGGCCGTTGACTCCAAATGGCTTTCCGAGTTTTCGGTCAACTGACGATAGAACTCCATGTAAAATTCACCACGTCCCAACAGATAAAAGTCCTTTATCAAACACATTTGACGGTTTAAATCATCTTCAACGTTTGCTATTGCAGAGAGACGTTGGCTAACGTGTTTCTTGATTTGGTTAATTACATTTTCCAATTGAAAGACATCGATCATATCTTCTTGATGCAGATCTTCAATCATTTTACAAAACACCGCTTCCTTGCCATCCCACAGCTCACTGATAGCATCGCAGTATGAACTTTGGGATTTAATGCTCCACTTGTAATTCTGTTGCTTGCTGCGGTCCATCTTAAAAATGAGTGCCGTTTGACCCACAAATAAAACTTTTTCGGCTAAAACAGATGACACAAATGATGGCAATTGATTTAAATTGATCTCATACTGCCATATCTCCTCCTCACTCACTGAAGTCTGTGCAATGGAAAAGAGATATTATATATTTTAAAATTTTTTTGTTGATTATTAGCAATTTACCAAGTGAGTGCTGCTGGTCAGCGATGAGTTGTTGACGGCATTCTCATTCGTCGATCGGTATGTTATAAAGAACTCGGCGTATTCATCATCAACAACACCAAACAACATCCAGTGACTCAAGTGCGAAAAGAATGCCAGTTTTACGGGTTTGGAAACTCTACAAAATTATAATTATGTAAATAATTCTTATGAACATTTGTCGTGTTAAAATTATGAAATTACTTGAGAAGTATTTGTTCTATTCTATAATCGCCGTTATCATAGTTTTGATATAGACTTTGTAGTAGTTTGCAGCCGTTGAGTTTCTATTGAAGATAATTGCAGAAAATTATTTATTCCTTAATGAAAAAACTACTAGACGCAACCTGTATCTTGGCATCATTAATAAGTTTGCGTAGAAAGAGTATGCAGGGCAATTGTTTTTCCAACACATTGTAAATGTGTATTAGAGAGTGTGGTTTGTTTTTCATGATAAACGCCTCAAGCAGTGTTATTTCATTGTAATAATCTTCGAGTGCACTTTCAATACCATTGGCAAAGTTTCTCAAATAGAAACCCGCGGCGAATTCTGGAAACAAGCACAATTAGCATTTAAAATACACATTTGAAATTAAACATTTACCTTCGGCTTCGTCGAAGTCAGTAATATTATTGCTGACGCCTCCAAAGTATTTGGCAAAGCGCACAATTTCATTCAGGTAATTCAAGATGTTTAAGATGTCCGTAAAAATCTTACGCTCACAAGGATGAAGAAATACGTCGACTACTTTCGAGGACTGTAAATATTATTCGTATAAGTTGGCATATGTGTGTGTATTCATGTCATACTCACCAGGAAATCTTTAATACCGATTCCTTTGCAGCTCAAGCTCAAGCAGGACAATAAAACATCGTGTAACATTGTATACTAGTTGTATAAATTGAAGAAATTAAGATAGAAATTTAATGCAAAAAAGAGGCGCTGATATTTTGTTTGTGTTTTGTTTGCTTGGTTTTATGTGAATGCCAATTACGTATGTAGGCATGTATGCCAGTATTTCGATAATAAGCACGGTCACACTTCGGTGCTTATCGAATAGTCGACACGATAAATGCATCAGCTGTGAGTATTTAAATTTTATAGTCGTTAGGCGCGTAAGTTTGAAGTCATATAAATAGTAGTAATTATAGTACAAATAAAAGATATAAAAATAAATAGACATATTTATTCATTTGAGATAGACCAAATAAAAATCATTATTTATAGTACGTAGGTACAAATCAAAAATTCATATCTATATTTTTGCTTTACCATAAGATGTGTTCCTACATGCTGATGGCACTCATTTAATCGTATAAATCCTTCAACTATACATATTTGTATGTATGGGCAACAGTTTTCCACTTTATTTTAAGGTCGATGCATTTTCAAGTCTAAGGAAAGCCGACACAACAACGAAATTGGTTTTCGTTTACACCTTTGCTTTATCTATATACGTAGGCATATAAATTATCCTTTCTGCTTTCATAGTTGTCAAATTTTATTGTCTTTCGGTGCGCAAGTGTTGAAAATGTACACCCCAGACATAGTCACAATAAATAATGTTCATGTGTCGGCCGTTACACGATAAGCTGGCCAAAAATGTTAACAAATATGTTTTTTATGGTCTGCTTCTATTTTGTACCTTTGTCGTCCACATGAAGTTTAAGCTATGCAAAGGACAAAGCCAAAAGCCTCACCAATGCAATTTGAGGCAATGCTGTAGCTTCCTTTTGGGCCAAGTTGCCCGTTGGCTGTTCGCAAAATTGCTGACATGGCAAAATTTGGCTAAAGTGTGGCAAGTTCGACCAAAACTACGACATGGTTATTATTTTTGTTGATGATATCGAAATAAAGTATACATATCATATACAATGAAAACTCTCTTGGACGGTGACTGTCCGGCAATTTTTGTGTGCTTAAGATGAACATATGATCAAAGCATGTACATTTTTTTTATATATTTTTTTTTATATAATTTAAGATTGATTTTAGTATGTTTACAAATGATCGAAGTTTATCTCAAAAAATAAGGCAATGAAGGAAGTCGAACGCAATACCGAAAACATTTAAATATGTGAAAGTCATAAATTAATTTGTGCTTTTTTTGTGGTCCGGAAGATAAAGGCTTTGTTCAACATTTAATAAAAACCTTTTTAGTTAAATGTAAGCCCGAAGAATGACTGAATTACCAAATTTTAAAGAGATGAAAACAAAAACTAAATTCGATACTTTTGCGCATATTATTTAAAATATTTTAAAACGTTGGCTTAAAAAAGACCTCAAAGAAACTTATTTAATTTCAAACAACTCGAAAAGTGTATATGTGTTTTTTATTTATTTTTAATTGCACTTTCGCTAAATAATTCAACGACTTTAGCTGACCCGTAAGTGCATTAGACTGCAGTGCCGAAAACTAACCCCTTCTACAGTGTTTGTAATTAGAAAGGGAGACCAGCTGAATTTCGAATTTATTGCATTTTATTTTGTAACATGTATTTTTAATTTTGCTGCTACGTTGATTAACTTTAATTTTTGACTGCACCAGCCACCGTCTGTCTGCCCCAATGCAAGTCCGTATCCCAATAAAGTTTTCACTCGCAGAGTTTGCTGGGGTTCTGTGAACTGCAAAATGAAAATGAGGAAGCTTAAACGTGGCCCTTTACCAAAAAACGGCTACACAAAGTTAGATTCATATGTGCATATATAAATATATAACTCTACGAACTTATTAAGTCCGCAAATGAGTTTATTTGTTTCCTTTCATTTTATGAAATGAAAAGTATTGCAATGTGATTTAAGTAGAGGGTTCGTAAACATTTTGTACATTTTGGACTTAAGCTTAAATAAATAAAAAAAAAAAAAATGAATTCACCAAATAATAATAATTTTAGAAACATGATTTTTATTAATTATTATTAAATATACTCGAGGCCCCACAATAAAAAGACAAGAAAACATGTTTTTTTCTAAGAAACATTTGTAAAATTTATTGATAATAATTAATGTATGTATGTATGTATATTGCACTTACATATATATATATATGTATAACGTACTTCATATAAAATTATCTATTTAAATTTCTTTATAGTATTATTTTGTTCGTCAATTGTCGTCTTCAATAAATAGTATGCATAACTTGAAGTACGGCACGAATTTGATTGTTTTGTTTTTTCTTTCTTAATTTTATGGGAAAATAAGGTGCCTCTTCTCAATTCCCATGAATTTGTGAGTAATTCTCCTGATTAACGGATATATGTATGAATATGTATTTACTTATATATGTATATAACTAATTGTGTAAAGAAAACTTGAAATTGTATTGCATGTCTTTTCAGCTCTTATGTGTAGTACATAAATTGATAATTTGTTTGCAGTAGTTTCTTGATTTTGTTGATATATATGTATATATATATATATAGTACATATATCTAATAGTTCCTAATAAAATTGACTATGAGAAAAGCATCTAAGTAAAGCAACAAAAGGCATTATATACGCGTATTTATGAATACAAATCTGAAAGGCACATTTTCCTATCTTAAATATGATATTTCGAATTTGTGTCAAAAGTTTACGATTCTCTATTTGGTCAGTTTGTCTTCATTATTCAGGTCAATATATATTGCATTGTGTTTGGTTTCATTGTTTCATCATTTTAAGTATTGAAAGCCTTTCTTTTGATTGGGGTCCCGATGCTTCACAAACAAAAGTATTATAAATAAAATAACGATACGTTAAGTAACTGTCTGAATCGATTTAATTTACAACTTTATCGGAACTTAAGTCGCACTCGTCCCATTCATCAAGTGCCCAGCTTGGCAGTTCAGTTTCATACTCCCAGCCAGGTCCCTGAAATATTAATAACAATATTATTCTTATTATTATTATTACTATTATTATGATGGTACCATTAAAAATCGAGAAAAAGAATTAAAATTTGTGAAAAAGTGTATTTTAAAAGCTAAAGGCAATATTAAATTACAGAATACAAAATACAAAAAAAAAAATAGTTAAAAGTTTTACACAAAATAAATAATATATAAAATATTCACTAAATCTTTCACTTTTGTTAAAAAAGTGAGATTAATTATGCTTACCTTATACTTCCACGCGTGCAAATACATGACAAGGTCCTTTGGCTTTGGGTCCCGGTAGTGCACTTTGCACTCATAACAATGTTTATCGATAACAACTTTATCGGATGCCACACCCATATCCAAAGGGGACACTGCGGGCACGGCATCAGTTTTAGCCGAAAATACTTGGCTGCTATTTGTACAGGGTAGCTGTTTGATGGAGTCGGTCGTCGGCTGGTTCTCCAAACAGGGCGGTGTAGTTTCACGTGAATTTGCACCCACATCGTCATCGCTGTGATGCACAGCTTTAATGAATGAAATCTTGTTGTTATTTGATGTCTGTTGGACTTAATGCGTATATAATGGTATTACCAAAGGTCTGATCGCTACTTAGACTCTCGAGGTCGGTTTCATCTTTTGTGTTTTTAAATAATGATATGTCCGAGTCACAATCGATGCCTAGCCAGTTTTCAGCATTGTGTATGTTAATGAGATCTCGTATAAGTTCATCGTCAGTTTTGCCACCAATATCTCCAGAGCGACCCTTTAATGGGCCAAAAACCTCATGATTGTACAACGGATCGTTAAGTATGGGATAACCTTAAAAAGAAAAATGCCAAATTAAATAACGTTTTTTCTGTGCATTTCTGTTGTGGATGTTTTACCCAAATATTGCAAGTGTACGCGTATCTGATGCATTCGACCCGTGAGTGGTTTGCAGAGAACCACGCTGGTTTTACCATTCTGGGATAGCTTCTTGAAGGTCGTTGTGCAATCCTTGCCCTTTTGAGACACCTTGCACACGCCAATCTTGTAGCTGACCACCTCAATGGGTTCCTTGCACTCAACGACACCGCTTTAAATTTAAATTCAAAATTGATAGATGATAAAGGAAATTATTACTGGTGCATACTCACTCTGGAAAAACACCCTCGACTCGACAGATGTACTCCTTTTCCACTTGTCTATTGCGTATCTGTTGCTCCATTTGACGAGCCTTTTTTGGGCTGCGCCCGAATAATAACAGGCCGGAAGTTAGACGATCCAGACGATGAATTGTGCGTAGGTTCTTCAAATTGAACTCCTTGGCAAGTATGAAGACTACAGTATTGTGTCTATATCGACCGCATGGATGTACCTAATTAAGTGTAGTAGGCAGAGGAAATTGGTATTAGTTTGCAAGCGATTAAAATCGGATTAATTAGCTATAATTTTTAAACGCCAGTTTTGCAAGCATTTGTTTTGCCGACAAAACAAAATAAAGCAACTGTTTTTAATACTCTGATGCCGAAGGCATATTTCCAGTAAACGCGGTTTACATAATCCGATAAAAGTAATTTAAAGCCACGACCAATCGCACCCCCAAATCGATATATTTGTAAGTGCAAATCGATAAGAAGAATCGATAACTCTATATCTTGTGACGGCTTTCAAAAATCGAACAATGTCCGGGCCATGCCCACCTCCGCCTATATCTTACACAGTTTTTAAGCTAAAAGAATCCATTTTTGTAGGTATTATTACCGGTAACTAGATAATCAATATTTTATGGTCCAAAACGAATGTATCTGGAGTCTCACAAATTTTAAATTGATATAACTAGTAATACCCTTAGTAACCTGTATATATCCCGCAATTTTAGAGCCACAGATTCCAAACTTGAAAGCATGATTACTATGAACCTCCTCCAGCTTCCACAAATTGTGTTCGACAACTAATAATAATAATAATTTTAGAGCTAGGGTTCCCAAACTTGGAAGGTATTTTTCTTAAGAGTCCATCTCTTCCCCAAAAATTTTAAAAGCTTATATATCCTACAGTTTTAGAGCTGTAGTAACCAAATTTGAAAGGCGCATTGATGTCTACTCAATGGTCGAGGCACACCCAGCCAATGACACCCCTTCGCCAACCCCCACAACATAATGCTGGCATCAGAGTATTCCGCAGTCGAGTACGTCCGACTGCAACATTCTCACATGTTTTTTTTTTTGTTTTACATTATACGCATTTGGAAATTATACAAAACTTCAGTGTTAATTGTGATTAAATGAGTGACGTAACTTAGGTAGAATATTATTAGATAAATGACTCAGTTTATGCTTTATGGCAGTCGTTTAAGCCACTTACGGGTATAGAGGCCGGTTTATTAACAACCACAATGTCCTCATCCATATGCACTATTGTGATTGGTTGGCAAGTGACGGGTACTTCGTGTCTGCAAAGATATTGATGAGTGCGCACATTTAGTTGGATATATGTAACCATTCAGTGCTCTTCAAATGCAACTACATTAATACATTCGTATCGCCAAAATGTTCGAGCAAGCAACGAATGAAATGAGTACTCTGAGTACTATGAATCAATTTGCCTTATCTATATAATAATATAAGGTTTCAACTAGTTTGGTTTTTGGTTTTGGTCGAGATATCCAGCAACAGACAGATTCCTTGGATGTACACACATATATATGAAATACTTAATTATAGCTAATTATGTTACACACTATATAATTAACAAAATTAGAGAGTACTCGTTATTTGAGATACTGTTTAGAACGATTTAAATGAACTACCATTAAATATGCAACTTTGTTGAACTTGAAGCAAATAAACGTAATATACAAAAGAAACTTCATTAAATTAAAAATGAAGTTAAGTGGTTAAGTGAAGCAAAACAAATAAATTATTGAAATTTACCTGTGAACAATATTGGCTAACAAATCGTTGTGTTTCAACCGATAATCGATGGGCACCTTCTCAAAATTAACGGTTAACGTGCCCGTCTGGATGCAGCGTTCATATTCCTCAGCTGGATGTGCCCGGAACTCTTTGGAGAATATATCGAGTATCTTTTCGCCCACCCAACGGCCTTTCGTAAAGGTGGTGAAGGTAAAGTAATATGGATAGACTTTTCGCAGTCCTGAGACAAAAGAATGTTAAATATTTCTTTATATTTTTGTTTCTTAATTGCTATGCTTTACCATTCTCTGTGTAGTAGGATGTCTCCTGATATCTCTCATCAGTAAAACCAGGACGTTTTGCTTTGAGTGCCTTTGTCTCGAGCTTTGCCTTTAATAGAGGGAGGTATTATAGACTTTGCTGAACTAGTCATCCAGCAGAGGGCATTTCCTACCTTTTTCAAATCTTTGATCTGTTCAGTTTCCTCTGTCTTTCGTTTCTCAGGTATTTTTACTTTTTGTTTCTCCAACTCGCTGGCGGCATTCAGCTAAAAGTAGAAAACAAAAAGAAATACAAATAAGTAAAATTCTTGATGTGAAAAATGACATAGATTAACTAGAGACGTATCTATTCGGTAAAAATGCCAGAGACGAGGAAATTTAAATAGATCAGCTGGTTTCTGTTCGAAAGTCTCTAAGCCTGTTCACAAGATAAAGTGGTTGTCGAGACTTTCCTTAATGATTTATGTTTCCATTCACTCAAGAACACATGATATCCACTGACGCAAACTCAGCAACTCAAGTTTCGGCTGCCATCAAGAATATTATTTATACACATTTTGGCATCTGGCATTTTTATCTATTCATAATTTGATCGTCTTTGTTCCTGAGTATGGAATCTCAAGTGGTTTTCGGGCTGGGCACTAATTCTACGTTTTCTCAGTCATTAATTATTTGCTTACGTGTACATATTTTTTTAATATACTACTGCATATATAGTGCAATGTGGTTTTTAGACGAATATATGCATACACTTTAGAAAAAAATCGACCTAAAGTGAAAATCGATCGAAAAAATTGGCTTGCTTTTAGAAATAACTTCAAAATATAGTGAAAAAAATTATAAAAAATTATATTTTATTCATATTAATATTTTCTATTATTAAGAAATATGTTTCTGAGAAGATTTAAAAGGAATAAAGTAGAAATCCTTTTTTTTTTAATTTTAGAGAAATCTACATTTTTGAAATATATTTTCCTAATAATAGTTTGAGCTGCACTTGTCACCAAAAAGTATGTAGACTTTTGAAAGTTTTGGGATATTTTTTTTTCCGAGTGTATGTATGTATAATGCATAAGTATGTATGTGAAGCTATTGCACTAGTTATAGACACAGATGCACATACATACATACATACATACATGTAATTGGAATAGATACTTGCATTTCAGTTAGTCGTCTCTTTCGTGGACTCCGATGAGTGACTGTTGGCTGGCTGACTTTGTCTTTGCTTTCATTGGCAGTGCGCCCAACAAATGATGGAAACTATGCATGTATGTATGTATGTATATATAATATATATGTGTGCATGCCCGAAAATGCTGTGCGGGAGGGCAGAGAGAACGGGAGAACGGGAGCACGGGAGCACGGGTGACGGGAGTCTGACACCGAGAAGGCAACAGTCACGTCAAAATCAACAACAACAACGATAACAACCACAAGAACGACAACGACATCGACGACGACAACGACGACGACGACAACGACCGAGATGACCTGTCGGTCAATTTCCCTTAAGCAGCATATTTTACAGTTTTAAGGCGGCTCTCCTCTCACATGGTCGGTCGCATTGTACATAAGAATTGCACACAAGAAATCCCACAATAGCCCCACATAAACATACTAGACAAAAGACCCACTCGAAAGTCTCCGATTTTCTAGTGAACGGTTTAAATTTAGCTGTGATATCATTTGACTACAATATTTACAATATTCTACACTAAGGCCTCAGTGTAAAATTAAAATAAAAAACAACAAACAAAAAAACATTTAGATACAACTAGTTGGTTGCTTCTAATTAATATAACACGTTATTATCTTGTTCCGTAATAATAATCAATAATCATTTATGATTATTATTTGTTGTACGCCAAAAAAAAAAAAAAAAAACTGAATGAACCCTGCCCACACACATACTTCTATACATTTATATATATATATATATATATTTATATATATATGTGTGCATGTGTGATGTGATGAAAATGGTTGCGCTACTCATCCATGAGATGATATTCATATAAAAAGACTAAATTAATTGAATCATTCAACAGCGGAGACCTGTTGCCAGAGATCTTGGCAAGCGACCATTCATATATATTTCAACAAATACATATCCATATTCACATCTATTTAAAAAGCATATATGCCATACATGCAAGTGTGTGTGCGTGTGTGTGTGCGTGTGTGTGCTTGTGCATTGAATGCTATACAAGTTTAACGGTTTTATATTGTTCCAAGCAAACGACGCCTGACTGTGTGCCCGACTGCCCCAATGCCTGCCCGGCTGCCTGGCTGCCTGGCTGACTGGCTGGCTGGGTGCCTTGCTGCCTGCTTGTTCGATATTGGACAGCATCCCGAAGCCACAGCTAATATTTATGGCAGTACCCACACAACGGAGACCATCACACACACACATATATATATGTATATATATATGCATATATGTGTTTGTATTTACATATATGCGACATAATCTCTCCACACTCGTCTGCGCAAGGTGCTATAATCGGGCGTGTGCGAGTGCGTGTGCGGAATCTGGAACTATAATACATAGTGTATATATATACACATATATATATATATATATGTGTATAGATAGATAGCAGCACGTGAGCACGCTGCGCTTAATTATCAATTTTCAATTTCAAGAACACTAGCGCCTGGTCATCTTCTTTAGTTCTATATTTAATCAAGGCATTTCGATGCTCTTACACAAAAGATCACTAAACTTATTATATTTTTTATGTGTCGCATATAATTCAACTGGAATGTGGCACTTGGGAAAATGATACAATTAAACATCGTTAAATGACTATTAACTAATTTGGCACCAAAATAATGTGCGTCGGCGAAATATGCAATGGCGGGACTAAATATAACGCTTAAACTTTTATTTTTCTCAATTTTTAAAGTCAAAATAAAATAACTCAGATCTTGCAAAATGTATATGTAAATTGTGGTCCTATCTAACTCGGTCAAATAATTATATGTCTATCAAATAATAATTACTCATTTCTCTCTCAGCAATTTAAGTATTTATATATATATATATATATATATATATATATATATATAATGTATCTGCATTTCATATCTCCTTGGTTTCGTCAGTTTTAAGTGGCAAAATAATAAGTTTTAGTTGTTATTAGTTTTTACAAAATTCATATTATTTTGTGTTTGGCTGCACAAACTGCGTCTAGGAAACTCCATTTCGTTGCATGTCGACTATTGATTTTTCCTCTATTTTTTTTTCATAGGTTTTAAGAGTCATAAAAAGCTAAGATTATTAAAATATATTTCCTCTTCAAAATTTTTTAAAAAATTTTTTCATTTATATTGACATCGCTTTTTGGTTTCAGCTCAAACCCGGTTTGGCTTTCACATTGTGTTTTCAATTTTCTGGTTAACTCACTATGCAATGCGTGTTTTTAATATTCTACTAATACTTGAGAGAAGAACCTGTCCAGACCATTTAATGAGGTGAACAAAACCAGATTAAAAGAAATCCTGACATCAACTAGATCGAAATGAATTCAATTGGTCCGCTTAGTGACCATATACGTCCAACAAGTGTCGGGTATTGTTTGCTCCAGTTGTTGTTGTCCCCACAGCGATTGAACAATTGTGCATATATTGTTACTGTATATTCTAGTTTTGCAATACTGCTCAAAAAGGAAAGCTGTTGGCCTAAGCACACAATCTTATTTAGTGTTTACATTTGGATGTATGTGTTGATCAAATGAAATTTATGATAATTCAATCAGCTGCCAAATTGATCGGCATTGGATGTGTATTTTATCCGATCCGCTATAGCCATGTCCATCCGTCTGTTTTTATGAATTGACTTATTAGTAAGCAAAGTATTTTTTTTTAACTAGAACTAACATTTCGACGTCTATATTTTCGAAAGAAAAGTTCCACCGTCAGCCATTTATTTATTTATTTAATTTCGACACAGAAAAATACTAAAGTAAATAATAAATTAAATAAAATAGCAAAAGAAATTAAAAAAAAAATGAGAAAATTGTATGATATTATCTAAAAAATGTATTTTAACATATATAGTATATATACATATATAACAAAGTGGTCCGATACGGTCGCATTCGACGTCATGAGAGAGAAAAGCCAAAAGACAGATATACATCAGGTTTCACCAAGATTGCCTTTAAACTGAGAGATCGCTATGTGGACTGGGCTAAAGATGGTGATCAAGAATATATATACTATATAGTTGTAGACGTCGCCTTCTATGCGTGACCAAATTCAAAACAATTGTATAAAATCTCCTATGGAAAATCGGTAGTCTGCAAGATCAATGCTCCCAATACAAATGTATACTAATACATATATGCATATATAAAAGGCGTTCAGCGATTGGGCACTTAATTAATCTGAATTTATTTCGATTTGATTTGATATTTGATATCTGAAAGCTGAGAGTTGGCAAGCAATTACGAATTAGTTAAAATAAAACCATTTCGATCGGAATTCGGAAGAGCAAATCAGCAAAATGTTCGGAATTGGCTTGGTTTCTATTTTATCTTAACAAGGTTGTTTAACTAGCTTAAGAAAGCCGCAGGATAGATACCCTTGCAGAAGAGGAGTGCCACCTTAATTATCTTATTAATTTATGAAACTCAGGGATTATTCATAGGACAGATTTATAATATATTTATTATTATTTATTTACTATGCTTTAAGCTATTTTTATTGTTATTTATTTATTCATTTATGAGTTGAACCACATTGTTTCATTCTTTATTTCTGTTTTCATTACTTATTATTTATTTAATTAATTAATTAATATTTGAAGTAGTTAATTTAATAAATTTTTGTTTAATAAGTTACCCAAACTTAGAAAATATGCGGTTTATTAAATTCCTCACATTTGGCAAACAAAATCATCATCATTAATCATCCACAAATGTAAATATTTGATAATTTATTCCAGTCCACAAGGGCATGCAAAATTCGGCGTGTTTAGGATTATAGTTTCGACTTGTTGGTAAATAATTTTGAAAATCTTATTTTAGCTAAGACATAAATTGTTGCCCAAAATGTTGCGAAACGATTAATCATAATAATAATTTATTCTTAAATCATAATTTCTGGTAAAAAGTTATCAATTAATTCGCATGCTTTCATAAATTGCCAATGGACTCGGAATGGGGAACAGGCCAAGTATATTTTTGTCAATACCCTCCCGGGGGTATTAAGTAGCGTGTTGATGTTTCTTACAGCGCTGTGCCTTAACTTGTTTTCAAGGGCCACAAGTTGTAGGCAAGTAAATATATCGTGTTTTTTTTTTTGCGTTTTTTGTTTTTGCTGTTTGTTGTATGACTTCTGGCCAAGTTGAACATGCGTATTATGAATTTGTGTAAACAACAACAAAGACGATGAGAAAAGGCAAAAGACAAAAGAGCACCGCTTGGCTCTAAACTGGCAGTTGCGGCTACTTTATGGGCCATGTGAGGAAACCTTGACCAACTCAGTCAGCGTTTACCGCTTGTTGCTCACCATTGCATTTCAAAACCCAGCGTGGAAAACAGTGTAGCTAGACAACACCAATAGCAGCAGTAGCAGCAGAAGTAGCCGTAGCAATAGCAATAGCAATAGCATGCGTAGCGATGCGGAAAATCTGAAAGGTCTTTATATATATATATATATATATATATATAGTTATGTATTAGTGGCACAAGGAGATTGCAGATTGCGTTTTAAAATAGTATTTGTATTTATTTATTTATTAAGCGTCAAGCACATAATTACTTTTCGTTTTTATGATATCATCTTACAAAAGTACTTGGTTGCCACATTGTGTAGAGGCTATGTATTTAGCAATTAGCAAGAAATAAACGATATATACAATTTAATTGTACAATTTATATACACGACTATTTCAGAAGAGACTGAATTAATGCACACATATGTATGTATACAATTGAAATCGTAATAAGCTATTTCTGATTACAATCGAGTGTTTACTTGTATGTTAGACAATTGTTGATGTTGCTGTTGCTGTTGTTGTTACTTTTAAAGTGAATGTCCAAACATTACAACTTCGAAGTGTGATTACAATGAGTCAGTCTGGATTTCATGCTGCAATTTTGTCATAATCACAATCCAAGTCAATTTGGGCCACTTAAGATCTGTATGTTACAATCTAACACTCTAACGAAAGCAAAGTGTGCGGTATTGCATACAAACTTGCATACACTCAGCAAAAAGTCTGCCTGAAATTTAGAAGTCCCCCTACAAAAATTAGAATCATTTTCTGGTTCTTAGAAATATTTATAAATATACAAGGAATATTAGAAGGATATTAGAAGGTAGAAATGCATAGGCATATGTATTATTTATAGACAAATCTTTTCTGAAATTCAAAAATAAGTAATAAAATTTTCCATTTTGGCTCCCATTTTAGCTACATATAAACTATTTATAAGAATTGTATACGTTGACATTAAAATATTAATACTTAACAATATAAGTAACAAAAAAGCTAATGTAATAATTCTGATTAGACATATTAAAACACACACGGTATTTTAGATGTGTATTTAAGATTAAAGAACATTTCTACCATTCAATTAAGAAAAGAAAAGAAAAGAAGCCGCATAGCTTTTTAAAATATGTCTTAAATAATACGCCCTGTTACCTTGACGCCAGGAGTATGGAGATTTTCTAAAACTCATAGCGATTTTCTAAAATTGAATGCCATTTTTTTTTTTTGAGTGTACGTACATAATCACATACTTAGTATGATCCTATATACGCACGTGTATCGAGTTGTTTGTTTCTACGAATCTTTCGTCTGTTTAGTTTATACATCCGCTATAAACTCATTTCTTTTCCGAGATACGATTTCATTGCCTAAATTGATATCTAATTTTAAACTAATTTCACTTAATTACTTATTCCGTGTAGCTGACTAAACATTTATATAAGATTTGTTAAACAAATTAAAACACGTTGCGCGTAGCCCTTCAATTAAATTCTGTTCAATTTTATTGCTAATCCATTAGATAAATAAATTGTAGAATTTATTGTGTCATGCATCAAAAATATACTTTTAAAAACTTAAGCTTTTTTACCAACAAGCATTGACTGGAGATAAGTCGCAGTTGAAAACTTGAGCAGTCATCGAGGTGGCTCTTTATTCATATTTAGCTGTTGATTGTTAAGCTTTAGTATATATATAGTATATAAAAAATTGCCCTGAAATCGTCACACATTCGCCGCCAAGTGCAGCTGATAATTATTATTAAGAAATTGTATATCTAAAATTCAGAATATTTCTTTTCTATCTGTTTCTGAATTTAGTTATTTAATAAGGGATTTTTTTTTTTAAATAGGTGTTTTCCATTCATACTTTTTATGCTGTTGCTAGAATTATATATCTCAGTAAGAGAAAAAAAATTTTTAAGTTTATTCCGTATATTTAGAAATATTTCCAAAAACAGGAAAAAAGTTTTCAGTACATTTTTCATTTTAGGTCGATTTTTTTTCTGAGTGCATACTCAATATGTAATTTTCCACAGGCACGCATGCAGTTAGAATTTACAGATATGAATATTTGTACCTAATATATGGATTCCAGTGGAAAGACAACAGCTTCCAGTTTTTAATGATTGCTGCACCTACGTGCAAATAACTTTTTTATTGTATTTTGTATGAATACATTATAAATTATAATGGCGACAGCTACTCATTCTTATAACCTGTACTTGTGTACATACATATGTACAATTTCTAATGTACATCGTACACATGAACTTCAAGTGTTTGTATTTATGTGCGCATTTATTCAATTGTCCAACTATCGATAAATCATTATGATGAGCTCACATAAATCTTAACACACATACATATATATATATATATATGCATATATGTATATGTAGGTAATGCATGTTACCTGTGTAGTTCAAGAGCACGGCTCATTTGAACGTAAACAGCACCTGCCCGGTTGGCTCTCAGCCACTGACATCAATTGTGTCTCGATGACCTTCGCACAAGTAGTACTCGATTGCAATCAGAAATCATGACATGCCGTTTAGGAGACCAGTTCGATGAAATGCTGTTGAGCTCAACTCGAGAGTGCGCCTCTTAAGCAAGCTCATGTGAATTTAAGCATGCAGTTTACTTCAAGTTAGCTCTGCTAATTTGTATGGGGAAATTAGTTCACATTTCTGCTGTCCATTTTTAAAAGCACAACTTTTTCAATTAAACACGTTGAAAAGCGGTCTGGAGCTATTCAGCATATTCTCTTTGCTAACAAGTAATACAAATTCCGGCGAACAACCAGCAATTTTCTGAATGGAAAACTGATTGAATCATATAAAATATGCACAGGTTTTATACATAAACAAATTATAAAAAAATGAATTTAAACCAAACGATACAAAATATTGGTTACCATTATTAATTATTTGTAGTATTCGTTCAGCAATAATACGGCTTAATTATAACTGATTAACAGCTTCCTTAATATCAATAAAAACATTCTTTTATTTTACCATAATGTGAATAAAATTAGCACAGTTTTATGGAGCCGATGAGTCCCACATCGTCCGACACTGTGGTTCATTTCGCTTTCTATAATTGCCCGCAAGCTTTTTCAATAAATTTAGGCTTTCAATATCGGTCTGTTGAAATCAATATTTAGTTGATCTACCGGTATGTGAACATATCTCATAACGTAAAAGAACATTTCGTGTTTGGTATTTGTGGCATGAGAGGATTTTCTAAACACTATACTCGAAAAGTTGTTGTAAACCAAAAACAATAGTGGAAAATACAAACATTATCCCCACATTCAAGTTTTAATAGTTGTTTGCTTGGGAACGCATTTCACCGGAAGTTCTTTGAGAGCTGTGAGTTTTCATAGTAATTATTATTAAGTATTAAGTATAAGTATCGAATAAAAAGAAGCCACAAATTTGAATTCGTACTTGGGGAAAGGCAGAGGGGAGAGCTGTTCACTCCATCATCTCAATTTTAGAGTGGTTTAGATTAGAATTTCTGGTACAATTGACATAATTTACCCCCTCCCGAAAGCTTGACTGCGTTTCAAATTTGATCAGGCAAATTAAATCGAATTACAAATCACTATCCTACTAAATCTGTCTGCTATATACATAAGTACAAATCACATTACTGCCGGAACAAAATTTCACATCGGGCTCCAACAACTATAAATTCATTACTCAAAATTATAAAAATTATTATTAATGTGAAAATATTAAAAAACACGTTTTTATTCGCCGTGTTCTTATTTATTTGGTTAATTTTTGAATTTTGACTGCGAAATTATAAATCAAATTTTTCTTTTTAATATTTTTTTCATAGACTTTAACCATATTTTTATTTATACAGGAAGTTCAACCGGGTCCGAAATTTTAAACTGTTATAAGCAAACGCACATTTAAAATATTTTATTAAATTAAAGAAATTTGAAAAAATTAAAAAAAAAATTGGGACTTTATTCATAATATATATTTTATGCAGCTCAGTGGTTATTTCAAGAAATGTGGGTACTTTTAATGACATTTTCTCTTTAATATTTCTTGCTTGGCTATTTATTTTATGATGCAATTCGTCTAGCAAAAAAAAGAAAAAACAAATAAATAAATAGAATTAAATGAAAAGTCACAGAAGAATGCCCGGTTATATACAATATATATATATACATATTCATAAATGATTCAGAAAGATAATTAAATCTTAAATTTAACTTTAACTCTTTATCCTTTCGAGGTACATACCTTTCTGTTGAGCGTTATAGCCACTGGATTTGGGATTGCTTTGATGGAGTTAAGAGCTGATGCATTATTTGCGTGATTCCTATGTGCCATAACGCCGCCCAGATTGAGATTAATGGAAGAGAGATGCTGCAGGTCCTGGGGCAGGCAATTCATCGAACTGCACCAGAGTGCATGCTGGCGGCGCAGCTGAACGTGCCACCGGCACCTGCACCTGCACCGGCACCGGCACCGAACCTGTCTGTGACAGCAGACCCGTTGGCGTGCCGCCCGTACTTGCTGCCACAGTGGCCGCAGCCAAAAGCGCCTGCTGCTGTGCGGATAAGGAGTTGACGCCACCAAATGCAGCATGATTAGCTTGACCAGCCTGTCCGGCGGCCGCTGCTGCTGCAGCTGCTGCCGCTGCCGCTGCCGTATAATAGGCGCTCAGCGAGAGTGGCGAGAACATTGCCGACTGCAACAGATGCGTCTGCGAGTGACTGTGTGGATGGGCATGTGAATGTGGATGTGCGTGTGCATGTGCATGTGGATGGGGCTGAGCACTCGCCGCCAACTGTCCCTGATAGCTGGACGTTTGGGCAGCGCCAAGCAGCGGCTGTCCAAAGTTATAAGCGGGCGCCATAGAGAAATGTTGGCCGGCACTCGGATGCAATGCTGGCTGTTGATAATTTGTTGGCGGTGCTGCAGCGGTGTTTGGTGAGTGTTGTTGTTGTTGCTGATGTTGTTGCTGTTGCTGCTGCTGCTGCTGGAGTTGCTGCTGCTGTTGTTGCTGCTGTTGTTGCTGGTGCTGTTGCTGCTGCTGATGCATTTGTGGCTGCTGTGCGGCGTAGATGGCACCCGACGGTGTGACGGCCACTTTGTCCGCAAAGGGTGTCTGCATGGCCAGCAGCTTGTGGTGATGCTGCTGGGCAGCCAAGGACCATGGCAAATACCAGGCACATGAGGCCGATGAGTTCTGCATTCTGTCTGTTTTTTAATCACTCTCTCTCTCTATATATATATATATCTTCCTCTCTCTCTGTCTGTTTATTTGTATACGTTTGTTTGTTTGTTATTTATGTTCATTTGTATCACACACACTCGCCGTGCGGAAGATTTATATATTATTTTTTGTATGTTCAGCACTTGTATTACATAATTGAGATATGTTATTTTTCGGTTCACCACTTGAATTGCATAATTACTTATATAACTTACAATATGTTGTTTTTATTGTTTACTGTTTAGCTCGATCCTCGCTTGTAATACACACACATCTTCTCAGTTCACGTTCGCTGTTCATTACGTTCAAATGTGATTAAACAGTGATCTTACATAAATCTAACCATACACTCGCAAAAAAAAATATATCGATTTGAAAACTAGAGAAATATTTCTAATAAATATCTACTTGCATTTTAAAAGTTCGACATGGAAATCGTTTTCTGGTTTTCGGAAGTAATTTCTCTAAATACGAAATATAGAAACGTTTTTCTTTCAAATTGTATTGAGTTCATTGCAAAGCAAATATATTTCTTAAGATTGGAAATGAAACCCATTATTTTTAATTGTCTCTTTCGGGATCAAATTAACTTAAATGAATTTACAAACTGTCATAATTGTTTGTATATTTGAAATCTGAAAATAATGCAAATTCTGTGTCCATATATACAAACCTTCGGAATCAGATATTTTAATCTACACTTTAGAAAAAATTTGCTCTACAATTAAGAATTGAAATCCAATAGTCTTTAACTAATTGGGCAGATATTGCTTTGCGTTTAAGAATTATAATTTCTAGATAATAATGTGAGCTAACCTTGGCGTCAAAACTATATTTTACTAGACTTTCTAAATTTCAGATCGTTTTGTTTTTTTTTCTGAGTGTATAGACATAAATATTTACCTATAACAAATAGGTATACATGTATGTGTGTATATGTAAGATCAATTCAGTGTTTGCCTGCCACTTTCGACGCGTTTATTTGAAATATTTTGGAAGTCGAAATTTACTTTGGTTTCTTTTGTTTGGCTTATCTGTTAACAAGTCTATGCGATTTCATGCCATGCACGATGGGCTTAAATTGTATTAATCTGAACAAACCTCAAAGAAGTGAATCGAAAAAAATAAATTAAAATTGTATTCTGTCAATTTGCCAATTAAGACAGAGAACAAACCACCTCAGACAAGTCGTTCATGTTTCCTAAGATTTTTTGTCTTATTTCAATACACACCAAGCGGAACAAAATTATAAGAGAAATAATGTTGTTGTTGAAGTCAACCAAAAATATTCAGTTAATTAAAAACATTGAAAAACTTTTCTAGTCTTTAACTAATAACTAAAAGTAACGAAAACAAAATAAAAACTAATTAAAAAATAAAATAATTTCATCACAGAAATGAGATAAAAGAAAATGAGAAATGACTATTAAACATGCATTGTAAAGAAAAATTGAATGAAATGAAAAATGCCTATTGAAAAGTTGATTGAAAATTGCAAACAATAAATATTTATTTAGGCCAAACGACAAACAGCTACAAAAATGGATTTTTTAAAGTTTTAAATTTAAAATAAAATTTGCAAATTAAATGATAAACGATTAAGAGTGAAGCGTCTGCTAAAAGTACAGGGTATAACGAACCTGCTAATGCACGATATATGTATGTGTGCGTGTATGTGTATGTGTATTTGTCATACATACAAACAGACATTCACATCTGACTGTGAGCGAAATCGGTAGAATATGTTCATTGGTAAATTAGTTGTTTTTGTTAGCGAACCACTGTTAAAATGTACCCAAAACACAAACCCAAATACAAATACACAAAAGCACACCTTGGTCGAGAGAGGTGGGCGACAAGCGTAACCGCCAATATGTGTGTATTGGGAGGGGGTGAGGGGGGGGGAGACTATAGACTAGAGACTAGAAGCTACCTGTCTTGACGAGCAACGCTTCTGTGCACTTGTTTATCGTCTAATAAATGAAAATGGAATGGAACAATGGCGAAAGAAAAGCCACTAAATATAGCGTAATGGATTTTAAATGCACATTCGACATCTGACGTCTGGCTTGATAGCTGCTGATGGTTTTTGGGCCTGATGGACTGTCGGACCGACGGACGGGTGGACGGTTCGACGGGTGGACGGATGGACGGATGGGATAGACTGCTTTTAACAGCATTTAATGCTTGTGCGCGCACCCATTTAAATATATATATTTATGCATACACAAAGTTACACGTTTTGGCTTCTACGAAACACGGATATCATCGATGACATGAAATGGATATATATGTAGATAGAACAGAAGGGGATAGTACGCCGCACAGATAGTATATGTATTAGGGTCACAGCTGTTGCTCGTTACATGCCAACAATGAAATATACTTAAGACAAAACACCGGCGCATATTTTAAAATGCTCATATTTTGCGTTTTTCTGTTTCTGTTTCTGTTTTTGATTTTGATTTTGATTTTATTTATTTTTTGGCCAAGTCAACAGACGACTTGCAATTAGAATTATATCGCTTGTGGCACATAAAATGCGCTGGTTATCTGTGCGAGTGGCGAGTTAATAATAATGTGTCCCTTCTCCGATCAACAATGTGCCACCCGCTTCCCTCCTTAAGTCCATCACCCTCCCCCCGCCCAACCACCTCCCGCACTGTGGGGAGCAGCTGCTGCTATCTGTTCTTGTAGTTTGTGTCGCTACGAATTTATTTACTTATGTATTTATTTTTCGGGGGCTTTGTGCTAAAATAAGTCTGATGTATTACTTGGTTTGCTCGCACACACACACACACACACACACACACAAAGAAAATACATAGCTAGATATTATGTGATTTTTTGTCGTTTCATATGCACGAGTCTCACACACACACACACATACACACACACACATACTTAGGTATAATAGACATGTGTGTTGTGTTTATGTGTGCTAATTTTTTTGTTTTGCGATCTTGTCGTTGTTGTTTTATATATTTTTTGTTTGATCATACATAGTACAATGACAAGTTGATGTCTGTTTTATGAGTATTTTGTGTAGATACTCAGCGACTAATTTATCTTATATAATACACTCGTGTGGGCCAAGTGGCAAAGGATTTCTCAATAAAAATGTCAGATGTTCGCTTATAGAATACATTTAATTCAAAATAAAATCATAATTGATGTGTCGCACTCGGCATTCCTGGCAACCAGCAAAAAACCAGAAAAAACCAACCGACTTCTATGAGAAATTTCAAATAGAAAAACGTCTTTCATTCACTTTCATAAACAATATTTACTCAGTGTGTGTGTGTGTGTTTGTGTGTGTGTGTGTGGGTGTGCATTGTGTTTTGTCCTGAATATGAAGACACGCTAAAAGTATATTAGGTAATCTCGCATGTGGAGCTCGCTGTTTGACGTTTTTCGATCGTTAGAGGCCATTCTGTGCGTAGGGCTACTGAAATTACTTGATATATTTCAAAACGTCACCTCTAACTAAGTCTTGCCAACAACAACAACAACGGCAACAAAAATTGTTGTCTACAAAATATACAATTTTTCAGAACAAAAACTATTTGCGTACGTAAAAATGGACGATGTTAGACTACGGCAATGGCGCATATTTTTGGTACAGAGCCATGCACGAGCACACACATACACACACACACACATATACACATGGCAAATATACACAAGCAAAGGAAAAATTCTAAAAACGTTGTCCTCAAATAGCTCTCGGTTCTCATACACACTCCTTCTATTTAGTCGCTTGTCAAATGTCTGAAAAGACTGATTATAATTATAATGACAACTGTGTGTGTGTGTGTGTGCGTGCATGTGTGTGTGTGTTTGTGAACCAATGAAATGCGATAAAAGATCAGATGTCAGAAGGTAAATTCAAATATTTCAAACATTTCAATTTAGACGTTACTTTCGTTTGAAATGCTCAGTTAACTGGTAGGTCAGTTATACAACGTCTAATATAATTTTTATTGGTTGCTAAAAACCCGCAATAATTTTGTGTTTTAAAACCTTCTTACATATCATTAACAATTTCGTGTTTTATTTTGTTTTTATCAACAATTTTGGCAGCACGTGCACAGTGAAAATGCGTCAGCAAGGAAACGGTAAACAATTAAGTTATAACAAAGCCCACCTTACAGGCTTAAAATCACTTCACTTCTTTGGAATTTTTGCTATACATATTTTTGATTTTTATTTGATTATCTGATAACGAGTGTGGCGTGGCGCCGGAGGAGTGTTTTGTTGTTAATTACCACGCAAAAAATAAGACCCAAGCGGAACGGGTTTTTATTATATATTTTTAAATAGTGCGACAAACGCCCGCACACCCATTCCCGTTTACAACGAGCTACTCTCAGAGATTGACTCAGAGATTGTAAGCCATCAATGTCGTCTAGTCCCGTTTCGTCTCGTCTCGTCTCGTTTCGTCTTGTTTTGTCTTGTTTTGTCTCAGGTGTGTTGCGTCGGCGTGTTTTTCAACACAATTGTTTCGTCGCACACGTTTTACTAGCTATCCAGCGTTGGAATTCACGCGACAACCTCTGCACTGGCTGACAGCAAGCGGCCGACTGATTGGAGCAGCCCCAAAACACAGTGTGGCGCCGTCAACACAAGTCGACTGCACCGATTCGTTTTTTCTTTTCATTCGAAATTTTTTGAATTTTGCGCGCGCTCTTTCTCTGCAACAACGTACTTATAATGTTATCGGTTGTGTATAAGTTGCACAGCTTGACCGACCCACAGAGAGCGACGCTGCTGTTTCTCTTCGAATTTCAATGCTGAAACGTTTTATTCACATTTCACACACAGCGAGATACATTTACCTTTGGGCACTTTGGAAAAACTCTAAAACATTATATAAGCCAAAAAGACAAAAAAAGAAAAATCTATGCATTCTTTTTGTTTATTATGTCATTTAACTGGCTTACTCTCGGCACATGCAACATGTTGGCCATTAAAAAAGTGCTCGCTATTTTTATGGATTGGTTTCTTGCATTAGAAGCTTGTTAATGTACATGCCCAAGCTGAAATTACTTTGACTGGGTTTGATCATTTACAGATTGCAATTTCAATTTGGATACCCATTAACCCATTAAAAATGGTTTAACAGTGTATTATGATGTTGTGCAAAAGTATGTAACAGACAGAATGAAGCATATCCGACCTCAA